ACAACAACCATGGGGTTGCTCCACACTTTACTCTGCTATCAGAGAAGTACCGGGAGCAATTCGCATAGCACACCGAGGTGGGCCGTCTCCCAGTGCGTTTCTTGGCTTCGCGCCCCGCTGGATTGCCGGGCACTACTGAGTGCACCCCTCCCCCCTCCCCATCCCCTCACCACGACAGGTGAACATGTGGGGGTATATCCACTAACTATCTCGGGGGCTGCCATCTCTATTTTAAATTTCATCGTAAATAAAAATAAGTATCATCATCAAATTCTAAAGGTCCCCACTGTAGGGGCACGGCCTCTAAAAAAAACTTAAATTATTCACGTTACTATAAAACTGCAAAACTAGTTCATTTAATAGCAGCCCCCGACGGATATGCTTAACTTTAACTCGCCATACATTTATTTTTTAAGTCGGGGTTTCTTAAATTATTTTATCCTTTTCAATTACTTTTAAACCGTCGTCGTGGGTTTTTTTTAATAATTTTGCTTTTTTAAAATTAAATAAATTCGAATAGCGGTAGTACATTAATAAAATTGGATCAAATATGAATAGCAAAAAAACGAGATAAAAAAATATCTAATTCTCTAATCTCTCTGGCTAGGGTGATAGCGTGAAGTATGTAGATATAAATTGCAATATATAAAACGATCTAAAACTTTGTACAAATAACTTCATGAACAGGAGTCAAACCCGCGTGCTTTCGACGCTTGTACAATGTACATATTCCAGCTAGAAACCCACTGAGATACAAAAGCTATTTATATTAATAATATCTTTTTGTAAATAAATTTTCTCATTATGATAGGTTTAAAAAGCCAAATATTTTACAATGTTCTTTAGAAAATAGTGTGATTATCATATTATGTCGAAGTACTTCCTATAAGCATTATATCGCTCAGCCGAATCTCGCATCAACAGCCAGTGCTAGTGTTTAGCTCAAGAAAATAGGCCGCGGTCAGACTTTTGCATATCAAGTTATCAGTAGATTATGATATTAAAATATAAGCATTTGCTGTTTATTTCTTTTAAAATGAATAATAGTTTATAATTTTTAATTTTGGGATTTTTAAACTTAAAATTTACAAGGTGAGCTTTATTTAAAAGGTGAGTTTTTTTAAATTAAATATTTAAACGACTAGTTTCAACGGTTTGCTTTAAAAATTTGAAACAAGAAAAATATATTTCCAAGTGAATAATCACTTTCTTTAATAGTAAAGGAGTAAAGGAGGAGTATTATTTAATCTGCTTTGAAAAAGCATTTTTTTTTTTTTGAAAATTCTTACATTACAATTTGCAACAGAAAGTATGGCTGTGGATGTGCGATTCAGTTATCATAATTTTAAGTTTAATAGGTAATAATATTAAAAGTACCTTAATAGTAAAGTGATTAAGAGATCAAAATTAAATTTCATAAATTTGTTATTAGTAATAAAATAAAATAAATTTTGATCACGTAAATTTCATGAATAAAGTGCAGGGACATGGAAAAAAGTGCCTATTCATTTAGTTTATTTAAAAAAAACTGTATTTAATTTTTTGTAAAAAAAGCTTAACTGAGCTGGGAATCGAACCAAACAAAAAAATGCAAAAAAGGACACCGTCCCTATTTTAGCGAATAAATCGACAGGGTCTATAGTAAGGGTCAAATCTCCCGAACAAACATTGTATCTTGGAATTAAAGAAAACTATGAAACAGGACATAGAAGAAAAGCGTCTTAAATACAGAAAATATCAAGTTTCACCCAAAGGATACATTATTTTAATTTTAAAAATAAGATTAATATTTTAATAATAATTAATTTTAATAATATTCTATAATATCTATACTAATATTATAAAGAGGTAAAGTTTGTGAGTTTGTGATGTTGTAGGGGGTAATCTCTGGATCTACTGAACTGATTTAGATGGTAAGAAGATAGCTTGAGACCCTGGGAGGGACAAAGGATACTTTTTATCCCAGAAATAATTTAAGGGAGGTGAAAATGGGGATGAAAGTTTCTATAGGGAATTAACCTAGGGACGAAAGCGAGCGAAGCGATAGTGAGTCGCTAGTAATATCTAAATTTATTTCGTGTATCTCAGATACGGCTAACGATTTGGAATAAATTTTGTATTTAGATAAGATTATACTTTTTCAGTTTATTTATATAGATTTCTTTTGTGAAAAAACGCATTTTTTATATCTTTTCGAATAACGTCAGGCAAATCTATTCTGTTGTAGTAGGTACTATTATAAAACTATATATCTTACAATATGTTTAATTTATTAATTTATTTTTATTTTACATTATATTTACAGTATATTACCAGTCCAGGTACTATAATAGAATTTATTTCTAATCATGTCAGATCAGTCACTTCCCATGGATACAAAATATTAGATGTGCTAATATTTTGCATCCATTAAATATCGTTTTCTTTTTACGAGTGCACAGAAAAAATAATATATATTATGTTACTTACTATGTTGGAACATTAACACAGCACCATCTAGTTCCATGGTAGGCATGGCGGAGCTTGTGTTATGGATACCAGATAGTTGATACACTACAAATACATAACTTTAAATTCATACATATTATTACTATAAACAACCATGACTGGAGTATAAACAATGGTGCCTATCACACAAATGAATGCCCCCAGCGGGACTCGTACCCGCGATCGCTGGCACGGCACGTCACGTCAAGTTTTGTGGCATTTTTTGCATTTAAATGTATTTTATAGGTAGGTATTACTTATTGCACTATTCATAAAGCTGCAGAAGTAACGCCAATATGTGTTTTGATTCTTCGTATTAATTTTATCTGCATATATTACAAAGATTTTCAAGCTTAGAATGTCAAACGCAATAAAATAGTGAAAATCGTAATATAATAAAAAAATATTTTTATTTATTTATTTTTATTTATAACCCTATCAGGAGTCAGCATAATCAAGTATCGGTAACAGAAGGGAGTGAGCCAATGAAATTTTAGATATTATAAATTAAAATATATTATTTATATCCCAAAAATAAAGTTAAAAAATATTATTTTTAATATTTTTGCAGAATTAAAAAAAATTACAACTAAGATATTATTTACAATACGCTATTTCTTATCTAAGAAAAGAAAGCCAAAAGCAAATATTTTTAATTTAAAATGTCAATATCTAAAATATATTTTACTAGCATTGTCCGCGGCTACGCCCGCGTTTGTACTTTTCAATAATTATTTTCTTAATCAAAAAGAAATTACATTAAAAATATGAATAATCTATTTTAAAGTTTTATACTCAATTGAAAATTAGTCAAGTTTTCAGGTCTACAAAAATGCTCTTTATGAAGATAAAGAGATATAAGATGTTGTTCGTGTATTATAATTATTGGTTAATGGTTTCAACTACTAAATTGCACCCTTTTAATACGTGAATGTCTCATCTCTCGGCCAGACTAATTCCTACATCTTGTCAACAACCTTTTCCTCTGCTTTGTTGCATCTATTATTAGATTAGCTCGTTCCTACCTGTTGGGATATTTAGCTGAAGAATTGAGACTTCCTAATTGAATTAACATTTTTGACCTGAAAATCATCTCATATTCAAATCACATTTGTTTCATCTATCTATATGTATATATTCTTTACATATAATGAAATTCTAACTGTGTCGAATCTGTACATAAATATTTTTTGCAAAATCTTATAAAAATAATCTTTATTATCGATACAGAGGTCGAATCTATAGTTATTAGAAATTTTATCTGTCTGTCTGTTTGTTGTCTGGGAACACATCACGAGAAAACCACTGGACAGATTTTGATGTGGTATGATGATACATAGATGGTTATCCGGGTCAACATTTAGGATACTTTTTACTGCGGGAAAATATCTCATCTCTGAGAAATATATATACTAATCTTAAAACGTCCTACCAAGGGACGAACCCGAGCGGATCGAGAGTGAGTCACAGTTTTATATATTATTCAAAATCACAATTTAGTTTAAACGTGACACTTGTTTCCATCTTTTCGCTTTTTTAAAATAAGTCGCAACAGATAAATAAATTCAAAAAAAGAGGGAATGTTTGATTTAAGAGCACATATCTATACATATAATAAAATTCTAACTGAGCCGAATCTGTACATTAAATATTTTTTGGAAAATCTTATTGAAAAGGCTTTATTATCGATACGGAGGACGAATCTATAGTTTTTAGAATTTTTGTCTGTCTGTCTGTCTGTCCGTTCGTCTTTCTGTCTGTCTGTCTGTCTGTCTGTTACCGCATCACGGAAAAACCATTTTAGGGATTTTGATGAAATTTGGTATGGTGATAGCTTGTTATCCGGGTCAACATATAAGATATTTTTTACCGCGGGAAAATATCTCATTTCTGAGAAAAAATATGAAAACTGTAATGTAAGAGTATACTAATAAGTAAAACCTAAGAATTTGGTTTTTTGTCATCTGAACGCGAGCGGAGCCTCGGGCAATGCTAGTTGTCATATATTTTTTATGCATGTTCAACGATTTTTGCTGACGGTTACAACTTAAGGCAGACAAAAGTAAAAATCCATTTAAATATGTCATATGATACCAATTCATACTAATTAGGCGTTAAATTTAATTATAATAAAAATATTTAATCGTTTTGCAATTTATATTTTAAAGCACCTAAAGAAAACTTTGCTAAAAAATTCTAAATAGGTTTTAGTAACTTGAAATCGGTTTATATATTTTTAAAAAGATTTTATTTTCTTCACAAACACAAATATAAAACAACATGAAGGTATCATGGAAAAACGAATGACGAATCTTGATCGTCATACTTTGTATAGCATACGAGAGGAGGGAGAGAGAAATATTCGCATTATAGTGGGAGGCACTGGCCTCGAACTAACTCGAACTTCAATGATTGCTGACACGTAGAAAAGATAGTGACTAAAATTATGACTTGTAGGGATTAATGTTATTATTTCCTACATTATTTGTATAATTAGTGTTAAAAGATTCAAAATGCGTTCGAGTTTGTTCCCTCGGCAAGGGTATGATGAAGAATCTGACACAGAACCTTTACTACCAGCGATACCCGGTCCTAATCATATACAATATGAGGTATGTTTTATGCAAAGTAAATCATTTTTATTTTTATAAAAGTCTAGATCAAATATAATGTCGAAGTTGTAATTTTTTATGTTTTTATTATAAGAATATTAAACTGTAGATAAATTATAAGTGTTATATGAGAGGATTAACTGATGTATATTGTTTTTTAGGTATTTCTTTATCTTATACGCTTTAAGTTGAACTGACAAGACGAGTGTTGCCATATACCAGATATTTACTTATATTACTTACTAGCAAAGTTATATAATTTTAAATTGACATAACTTTTTTATTCATGAACGAATTGAAATAAATCAAATACTAAAAATTAAGTGAAGCTTACGACAATACATTAGTGAAAACCGCGACCAAATCGGTTAAGTCGTTTTTGAGATCAGGGCGCACAAACGCACAGACAAACAAACAAAAATTCCAAAAATCATTGTTTTAAATTCTATTGCGTTAATAAAGACCAACAATAGTTTTTCTCAAATATTTTCCATGTACAGACAGCGATCAGATACAATTTTATTATATGTAGGTATACATATTTAAAATTCATCATTCATATCACTTTTATTTAAAATTCGTTTAATTTTACATACTACACTTTTATTCTATTCAGCATCATTTAGGTATTGTAATTTATAGTAGTACCTAAATACGAATAAGTATAAAAAAATATAACAAATGTTTTAAAATAAAAAAAACTTTTTAACCCCCGACGCAAAAAGAGTGGTGTTATAAGTTTGAAGTCGATGTCTATGTGTATGTGTGTGTGGCATCGTAGTGGCTAGAGGCCCGTGCCTATTAGCGAGATATTTAAAAAGGGCTGAATACAACAAAAATATTGTTAATTAGGAATCGAATTAGCAATTTTGTACAGACAATACTAAGTATATATACATACATATATCTATATCATGTGTCATAATGGCTATCTCAGTTGTCATAGATAAATGAAAACTACTTTTACAACATAATTAAACTTCAACGGCATTCAATATCTGTTTCAGCAAGCAGAAAGAAACTACGGCGCAATGGCACAGGTGGGGATGTCCCAGGCCGTGCTGGTGGAACCGAGAGGCGACAAATCTAGAAAGCTTATGCAGTATATAGCTGCGTTAGCAGGTAATATACTCATTTTTAGAGGAGCCTACATATTCTAAAGGCAAAAACTACACTTTTATAATTTCGTCATGTCCGTCTGTCCGTATGTTATCTACAGCTATTTTATTCGGAGATTATTGGAGGTACTGGATGTAATAAGTGTCTCATGAACCTCTACACATTTTTGGAGTCAAATTACGAAAAATAGATAATAGGGATACTCCATACATGCAACTGCAAATTTTAATTGAAAAGCTTAAATCGAGACAGATGAATCAACAATTCCCGAGTTATATGTTTTAAAGTCGCAAACATGGCTACAAAGTACTTAGTTTTTTTTTGTAAGAAGTAACTACTGTCTGTATTTAAAGTATAAGAACTTGAAATGAATAGTAGGCAATTTTTTTTTGTTTTAGCTGCCCTCGGCCCGCTATCTTCCGGGATTATGATTGGTTGGTCAGCGCCAGTCGTATACAAGATAATTCAAAGCAACAACACTGACTATGACTTCGAGATTTCCAATATTCAAGGTGATTGGATATCTTCCCTCACCAATCTTGGAGGAGCTCTAATTTGCTTTCCCATTGGCCTAATTATGGATGCGTTAGGACGACGAAACACTATGCTCCTCCTTGTACTTCCTTTTATACTAGGATGGCTTATGATCACTCTTGCTCCAAATGTGGGTATGTTAATGGCTGGTCGCATATTAACCGGAGTAGGTGCTGGGGGTTTTAGTGTAGCGTGCCCAGCATATGTTAGTGAAATAGCTGAAGATTCGATACGAGGAGCTTTAGGTAGCTTTTTTTACTTGATGCTTACGATTGGTATACTTTATGCATATGCTGTAGGTAGTTATACTAGTGTTTTAGTTTTTAACATTACCTGCACTTTAATACCTGTTATATTTGGTCTGATTTTCTTCTTCATGCCGGAGAGTCCCTACTTTTTAGTTACTAAAGGCAAATTTGACGAAGCTAGACAAGCGATAATTAGACTGCGTGGAAATTTTTTTGACGTTGATGGAGAATTAAACCATCTTAAAAAAAGTGATGAAATTTCAAAAAGCAGTTCTGTATCTTTTCTCAATGCAATTAGAAAGAAAACAGCAGTAAAAGCTATTTTAATTTGCTACTCCCTTATGTTTTTCCAACAATTATCTGGTATTAACGCCGTTCTATTTAATACATCTGCTATTTTTGCTAGCGCAGGTTCAACTATGTCACCTGCCATTTCTACTATTATTATTGGGGTTATACAGGTTGTCGCAACATTTATTTCTGGTTTAGTTGTTGACAAATTAGGGAGACGAATCCTTCTTTTATTTTCAGCACTAGTGATGTGTATATGTACTGTAATTTTGGGTGTATTCTTCTTCCTACAAGACGTACATGGTGCTAATTCAGCAATAATAGAATCAATATCTTGGCTACCGTTGCTTTCTTTGTCGTTATTTATAATTGCATTTTCTATCGGCTATGGGCCGATTCCGTGGATGATGGCAGGAGAACTATGCCTAATTGATATCAAAGGGTTCGTCGCTTCCACATCTGGTACCTTAAATTCAACACTTAGTTTTATAATTACGACTACATTTAATTCTCTTAATACTGCCATCGGTGCAGGACAAGTTTTATGGTTGTTTGGAGGTGTGACGTTACTTGGATTTGTGTTCATATTCCTGGTACTACCAGAGACGAAAGGCAAAAGCTTTGAAGAAATTCAAATTTTACTTGGTGCAGAACCGCAAAAGAAACAGGATGAAAAGAGATACTAGTGATAATAGAGAACTATCATAGAGACTGATAAAATATTTATTTTTTACTATTTAGACTATATGTTAGATATTCTGTGGTTGGCTAATTCTAGTCATCTTTGATGTCATAAGTATAATATTAATTGTTATGTATTTATAATGAAAAATATTAGAAATAAATGTAAATACAAATTAAATAATTTGTTTTTTTTTAAGAGGCTTATTACATTATGACCGTGATTTTTTAATTTAATGCCCATCTTTGACGTTCTTATTCAGAGAACCTGAAACTCTTCGACAATTTTGACTTATTGTATGGTGGAGAATAGTTACATAGCGGCCTCGCTTTTCGCAAATTTGCATTATTAATTGAAATAAAGCCAAAATTTCGAAACAAGTTTTTAATAAAATACGCGACCCTTTTCAGGCTCATGGATAATAATACTTTATTAAGCAAACGAAATGAAAAATATATAATAATATCTCGTACATAGTGCTTGAGTTTATAGCGGCCTCGGAATTTGAAAATATGTATACCTACGATTACTACAATAAAATCCTTTTCAAAATCGTAAAAACTATTAAAAACGTTTACTATTAAAAATTAGCTGTAAACTATTAAAAATTAGCTGTAAATATATCCTTACAACATTAATATTATTAAGTAAAATTTATACCAGTTTTTATGATAATAATTTATTATAAAAACTTTACATAGAAGTAATTACAAGTGCAGAAATGCTAGAAACAGCGATGCCGCTCGAACTCAATGCATAAAGCGCAGTATATTTTGTGATAGGCCTCCGGCGAATGAATGTGGCATTAATATCTTTAACATATATTTTTATATGGCAATTTTTTTTATTTGCATCAATCTATTGTAGATTCGACTTTTCATTTTATTGTACAAATTTATAATTTTCCTAATATTAAGTGAACTATATTCTTTTTTGGAAATAAATGTTTTTAAACCTAAGAATAGTTAGCTTTTTTATGGAATAAATAAATGAAATTACAAAAAAAAAACGAATTTTATTTTGTTCATAATCTATACTATCTATACTAAATATTATAATGAGGTAAGTTTGTGACGTTGTCGGGGGTAATCTCGGGATCTACTAAACCGATTTAGATGAAATTTGGTAAGAAGATAGTTTGAGACCCAGGACATAGAATACGTTTTATCCCGGAAATCATCCCTTATGGGGGTGAAAAATGGGAAGAAATTGTATAGGGAATCTAGCAAATCGGGTAAAAACATATGCTTTTGTAAATTTGTAATGTGTTAGAAACCCCGACAGTCTAATATCCAACTCAAATTATATGGATGTATTGCTTTTTTTAAAATCCCAAGTAATGTAGGTATTAATACGTTATTTTTTTAATAAAATAACTTTAATTCTACGATTGTGTTATTATCAACGTTTTCAAACAGTGCAATAACCTTTCTATATAGAGATGTGTCTTGCAGAACAAATCGATTTATTATATCACAGATCGAAAAATACTATATTAAATATTAACTCAAACAAACTCATTTACTTGTTTGTAGTAGGTACATACTGTAGGTACTTAGTACTTAAAAGCACACTACTGCAAAGTGCTACGTTAGTCGCGGGTTCGTTTACCATTGTAGAGAAATATTTATCTATACATACTTATAGTAAAATTGTAACGAAGCCGAATCTGTACATTAAATATTTTTTGGAAAAATTGAAATAAACATTATTATCAATACAGAGGCCAAATCTATAGTTTTTAGAATGAAAAAAACTGGAGGGATTTTGATGAAATTTGGTATGGTGATAGCTGGTTATCCGAGTCAACATGTAGGACTTTTTACCGCGGGAAAATATCTCATTTCTGAGAAAAAATACAAAAACTGCAATGTAAGAGTATACTAATATATAAAACCTAAGAATTTGGTGTTAGGTTATCTATCTGAACGCGAGCGGAGCCAGGGGCAATGCTAGTTTCAAATAAATATTTTAATTTATCAAAATATATAAAAGTAATTGTAGGGGAATAGTAAAACAGCTGTACGTGTTTGTAGTACATATGTCATCGTCAACTTGTTCTCATGTTTTTACTTCGCTTCTGACGCAGTCTGTTTTATTTTATTTTTGTAAATTAATAACACTATACTGCAATAGATGCTTACAATGACAAGACCTGGTTTCATTATGCCTTTGAGGCATTAAAATAATGTACATACAAAAATGGACAGTTTTCGATCAAATTCATAAGACTCGATCTATCTCAAGTCATTCTTACAGTTTCAGAGATTAGAACGAACATACATACGTGCAAATAATAGGACTGAGGCTCGCCGGGACTTTCTTGTGTACAAAATACATGAATAATTATTGAAAACATATAACTATTGAGATACGTCTGATATATAAATATCTCGTGTCATGGTGTTTGTAGTCGCACTCCTCCGAAGCGGCTCGACCGATTTTAATGTTTTTTTTTATATTTGGTGGGTATGAGAACAGGTCGCAAAGTATTTTTCACCCTCCTACCCGCACCCCCCATTTTTTATTACGATTTAAGTATTTTTGTATAAACAATATCCAAATAATTTAATATTATATAAAGACATTGGGATATATAAACACATATAAGCCCGAAGCGAGGGTGAGTCGCTATGCAACATAAAGCAATTTTTTTTTGTAGATTGATGTAGTCGTGAGTTCTGCAAGTATCTTATGTAATTGTTGAAATTAATTAACTATTTGATTAATTATGACGCTCACATTTCTGCGCGATAACATGAATATGGACATAACACGAACGACGCTTCACGTGCTCTCAGAGGCAGGGGTGTGAAAACCGGCAACTTCGGACTGGTACTGATAATTTCTTGACAGAAATACTCAATACCTGAACTTGGCCCGATCCGAGGCTCGAACCCAGGACCTCTGCATCTGCGACATGGTAGCTACTAGGCGACCGAGGCAGTTACCGAGGTTACGTTGATATTCATTGATCAGGCTGAACTTTGAAAGCTTTACTAGCAAAGAGTGGATGGAGTATCCTCTATTCACGTTTTGTTAGTAAAAGTATCCATATTACCGTCCATTTGATATCTCAAACCTGACACAAGATGTTATTAAAAATAATAAAAAAATCGATAAAGATTAGGTTGAGACTAATTTATTTGATAGCTATCAAAAACTAGACAGTGCACATTGCACAATTAAGTACTGGTACTTAAAAGATAAAACTTTAAAAAAAATAGAAGAGTTAGAAAGAGCAGAGTGGTAAAAATTTGAGAATTGTATAAAAATAACTAATAACACTACAAATGACAAAATAATGTACTATTCCAAGTCATCCATCTGTTTACTCATCCAAAACTATCCAGCTGTTTAACGTTCAGTAACAAACATATATACACACACACATATCTATGTCTATTCTATGGCTATCTATCTATTTATTTATATGTGTATATGTATATAAATTTAAGTTTTATTTATGTTTTTATTAGTTTACAATTTTTCTCTGCACTTTCTCTTTTTGTCCCGCTACTTAACACTATTTCCCACATACATAGGTTGACTGGAAGAGATCTCTTATAGAGATAAGTCCACATTTGTCCACATCTCTTTTAATGTATTTTTTTTATGACTACTTTTTTGTGCAATAAAGAATATATATATATATATATATATATATATATATATATATATATATATATATATATATATATATATATATATTTGTAAGTTTCGTAAGTATGATAGTAGTTTGATTACGATACAATTTAAAAAGCATACCAGTCTGCTGAACAGACTGATATCTTCTGGGCGCCACATGACAAATTCAATTACATATTACAGAAACAAATAAATTTATGAGGTAATAATTATTATGGATGGCAAAATAATTATAGCAACTAATAAATTTGTACTATAATATCATATCTGTTGAAATATAATACAATTGTCCTCGAATACGGTATCAATAACCATATTAAAGTACTAATGTTGCAAGGAGAGATAAACAAATTGACAATTATAATAACAATTTATTGTAAATGTGCATGCAATTATGGAATATATTTTGCTACAAAAATAACTATAAAAGATTAGAATACCTGCGTTGGTACTTTACATATTGTACTATAGTAGGGGAGTCCAAGGGGAGGTTTTGTGACTTACTCAAGCGCGGCAGCTGATCAGAATATTTAAAAAATATTTTGATAAGTTAGAATTACTTGAAACTGACAGATTAAGGTAGGGTGGGCTAGTTACATGCTGAAAAGTGTGCAATTGAATAATCTGCCGATTTCTACTTTTCTTTGATTACTATAAGAAAAAATAATTAAAATGAAGATCTAACTTGTATTTTTTTCTATAAAAATATGGTCACATAATTTTCCTTTTTTTCTTTGGTGGTTCTAATTTGGCTTCTTATGACTTAACATAAATATAAATAATCCTAGCACATACAAATAATCTTTCATATCCACTAAACACTTGCATGTGTCTTAATAAATTTTTAACTATTAGTATGAGAATTTAGCTTCTTGATATTTAAAACAGTTTAAATTTAAGAGTCTAAAGTAAATTGCCACTCGAATTTCCACCTCCAATCTTCACATATGCACGCCTATAAAAATTACAACAAAATAAGGAGTTCATAGCTTCATTCAGTGAAGATGAACTCTGAGTTCGATACAGTCCAGAAGAAACTTCCTCAACATTTGTTTCTCCTATAAACTGCTGTAAATCATTCTTTGGAAATCCTTCACTATAATATTGTTTGATAGTATCATAAGCATCCATTATTACAGAAATAAATAAACTTAAAACTACATAAATATATAAACTTATAAAGGAGTATAGATAAACTCTACTGAACCACCAAAGCATTTGTGACTTTTTGGACATAATAGAAAATGTGGCAAACATATCATCTCCATTTATTAAAGAGAACAAACATTCTGAAGTAGTTGATAAAGACCTAAATTTCATGTGATATGGACCAAGTACAAGCCAACCACAGAAAGTAAAACCAGCATATAAAAGAAGAGCGCAACATGAAAATCTGAATATTTTTGGTGCAGCCTTCTTCAATGTCAATATAACAACATTATATGTCTTGAAGAAGCCAAGATATCGCAATACACCGAACCATACTAATAAGTTCCCTATACCTAAGAATAAGGAGCAAACGTTCCACTGATCATTTGTAAACTGATTCCGTTCAATTTGTTCTTTTATTGCAGATCCCATAATAATTAGAATATCATTTACAATAATCATAATATACCAAATGTTTAGAAACTCTAAACGACCATCTAAACTTAGTTCCTTATTGTAGGCACGCCTGAAAAATGTTACCGTCAATTCCTTTAGTAGCTGTGCTCTATAGATCGCTCTACTGCATAATATGAGTGATGCACTACAAATAAGTATGACAAATATGTTAAGAACACTTCTAAGGATCTGGTCTAGTTCATTGTTAGTGACATATGCCTTATCGCCTTTGCATGTCAATTTGAATGGTTCAGCATCCAAAATGAGTGACATCTGTCCATCATGATCTTCATTATCAAAAATAACCTTCACATCAAACCTGTAACAATCTGGTGGTGTTATTGGCCCAGCAGCTCTAAAGTTTATAGTTTTCAATGAAAACAATAGTTCTGCTCGAACCAGGGCAGCAAAATCCATTTCTAAACCAACATTTTTTATAAATTTTTGTGATTTAAACAGTTCATTTTCTTTATTTGTAAAGTTAACACATTTATATATTATTTCTGAGTTGAATTCATAGCTTTCATTGAACCCATGAATTATGCCTTTCTTATAAGTGTAGGTGCAAAACTGAGGATCTGTTTTATTATTGTCTTCATTGTTATATGAATATGGGCCAATAGCATTGCTTAAATTTGAATATCCAGTATAAGCATAATCCAAAGCATTGTAAAATTCATCGACTTTATACACAGCTAATGGTCCTGCACCTGGTGGATATGCATTTATCTCTCTTGTAGAATCCCAACCAAGTAGGAATAAATGAGAGAAACTGATCCTGTTGTCCCAAGTGTAATTAACATGATTATATCTGTTATGTGCAAACAAACAAAGTTGCAGTGTCACCAAAACGATTTTAATTACCTGAACTACAAACTTGTAGGGAAATTTTCGCTTGGCTTGCCATTTTTCGATCGGATTCATAAAAAAAAATTGTAATTTACGTCGCATTTTCTCTTCAACTTGTGTTAAGGTCGAAGAATTAGGTGCTGACCATGAAGACTGACCTTGTGTTCTCTCATTATCCATAGCACCATTTTCTACAGTTTTAGATGTTTCTTCGATATCCGAGGGTATATTCTCGTCTGAAGAAGACATTACGTGGTCCAAAACAATGTAGGACGTAGATATTCGATTACAATTTTCAAAGACGAAATACCAGTTCCACATGAATAACACTACATTGGTCAATAAGTATATATCGTTGAAGTAGATCAATTAACTATTTTATATGTTTAAATGTTTGCAATAATACATGATTTTTCTTTGTTTTCAAGCGACCTTTCAGAGTTCAGACTCCGTCACTGTCAGTGTCAGACGTCGTCACTCGTTGTCACTATCAGGTGATCTTAAACTTAAAATATGTAAATTATGTAAATGCGATAGAAATAAACATTCTAACTTCTAAGACACTAAAGGAAGAAAAAAAACTTATATGTATTGTGAATTTATTTCGGGATTTCATCACAGAAAATAATAAAAATAAAAGAAAATTAAAATATTACATACATTTATAGGTCCATACAAATTACAATGTTTTTTGATTACCTTTTTTCTCTATGAACTTGGTCATAGATAATATTTAAAAATTACTTTGGGAATTTACCTGTCTATTCTCTGTTAAGACTTGAGTAGATATAGATGCTAACCCATAAACTAAACCAGGAACAACAATTCTAACCGTACGATATAAATCATATTTATCACGTTGGTTTTCTCTTTGAAATTCTTATAATCTTTTTGCAATTGGTACGTTAAACGATCATTACGCAAAAAATACGATCTTTTCAAATGTTCGATGTACACACAAACTATAGAGAGATGCTACGCATGATGTACATAACAAAATAGAAAAATAATATATACTACATAAAGTTACAATCAGACTATAAGGGCCAGATGACCTTTTTTTTAGTTGTTCTATTTAAGATAGTATGCTACAAAAGGACTAAGAACCAGATTACCTTTTATTTAGCAAGGCATGTTGTTACTAAAAAATAAAGTTGGCAACCCTGCTCGAGTGCCAACTAAAAATTAAAACATTGTTTTATACTCTGTGTCTGTGGTAGTCTAAGTGTCGTATTCGTACATAATTTCGTGCTAGTTTAGAGAAAAATTCTTATATTTCACACTCTTGTAACAAAAATAAAACTTATTATAAATTGTAAATATTTTTAATAAAATTTACATGAAACAATGGCATTAACAGTGGATAAACTTATTAACGAAGAAAGGTAAACCCGCTGTTTATATAAAGGGAAAGTCTACTTTGTTGCAGTCAGCAGTGTTTTATAACAATTTACCATTCAATTAAATGTATTTTACAGATTTAGCGGTGAAAATGTTCTGCAGTTCCTTTTGTATTTACCCCTCGGTTTAGTTTTGATGTCCTTGCGAATAGTTTTAGCGTTAATACTCTGGATTGCATCAATCATACTGCCTAATAAATCTGCTGTGAGACAGTTATTATCTACTTTGGCATGCTGGACCTTCGGTAAGCTAATTTTTAAACCAGATTTAATCCAAACAATTGCATGAGTAATAAGACATAACTTCTATTTACGTGATCTATTTTAGAGGAAGGTCTTATAATTGTTCTTTATTAAGTGATTACATTTTATGCCCCTTATAAATAATGTAATATTGCCATGATTCCTTTTTTTTTAGGAGTATATGTAAAGGTGAAGGGCAGTAAAGACCCACGCAGCAGTCTACTGGTAGCAAATTATGTGTCTTGTTTGGACTCTTTGGCTGCCGCTCATACTTTTGGCACAATTAGTGTATGTATTCTTCTGTACATTAATTTTAACTAAAAAAATCCTGCTGTATGTTATGAAAAATGTATGTATATTTTTAATTATAAATTTTTATCACATATTATTACCCTTGACATAATTTTTGATTGTAATATTCAAGGTTATATAATAGCACCTTACAAAAACAAAACTTATTTATTAAATTGTTAGAAAAAAATAGTCTTTAGTTTTAAAACATGTAATCCGGCAATCATTTTTTTCTTATTTTAGTTGAGAAAATGGAAAGTGCCACCATTTTTTGCATCAGCTCTTGGTATCAGAAATGCTGCTCAATTTGTGAGAAAGTGAGTTGAATTTGTATTTATAGATTGATAACAAAATAAAACTTGGACTCCTGTGACCTTGACTGCTGTAAAGCATTCAAAACATTAGGAGCCAAATATCAAAATAAATCTGTGTATTGTAGTCAATATATGAATGTATTAACATAACAATTATTAATTTTCTATGCATTATGTTTGATCATTTTGCTAACAGTAAAAAAATTGAAATGTACATATATTTTATCTGTGGTATCATTTAGATATCACAGATAACATCATATGTAATGGATATGGATTACCTATCTATACAAAAATAGCACTTTTATTAAGATTATTTTCTTAGGTCTGTTTAGACACAATTAGTGCTAGCAACACCTGTGTATACTAAATAAACTTAAAAATGGTTTATAAAATAGTAATATTTGAATTTCAGACAACACTTCACAGAGTGTCCGAGTAAGCCAGTGCTATTGCAGCCTGAAGGAGGCCCTACAAACGGGAAAGCTGTTCTTAAATTTACTGATTGGTCCTTCCCCATCGGCAATAGAGTACAACCTGTTGCTATTAGTGAGTGTTTTTTTTTAAATTTCATAAATATTTTTAATTATAAAAGAAAGAATACTTATAAACAACTGGTGTATTATCCTTGCTTCGCTCAGATGTGTAGCTAGGTACAGGTATACGGATACAGGTTTAGGGAAACTAGTATTGACATAATATTTTATAGCTATTATTTATACATTTCCAGCCATTGAGCGTCCATTCACAAATGTGACAGTGCACCGTCCCTATGACAAGTCTGATGTATTTCCATGGTGGGACGCTGTATGGTTCCTGTGGACACCATTCTCTGTGTTCACCCTATGGGCCCTACCCTCTTTGGAGAGGAAGGATGAGAACGAACAGGAATTTGTTGAAAGGGTTAGACGGGTTATTTCTGAAGCTTTGCAGGTAATTTTTAATATGTAGTTATTATTATAATTGAAGTGTCTGTTTGTCTGTTGTCTGATTTTTGAAATAGCTATATTATAATGATCTCAAAACATAAACATGCCACTAATAATATTTAATTTATAAAATATTAGAAAGGTATTACATTGTACATCACTTACAGGCGAGCTCAACATGATATTAAAAAGGCATTCTTATTAAACTTACGTTCCACACTCAAATAAAAACAAAAGGTAAAAAAAATGTGCATAGGAAAAAAATTACAAAAATCAAACAAAATATCTAATAACAACTATTTACAAGTACACATAAACACACTTGTGCTTTAAATGGCTATGTGAACTTGGCACCCGACTTTGGAAAAATTGTTCTTTTTTTAGGTTTATTTGATCGATTTCGGTTAGTAGTAGATAGTAGTAAAGCTAACTTCGTTTGTAGTAGTGCCAAAAAAAAATATACAGACAACAAAAAAAATGTCATCCCCCGAAGTTGGTAAAAAAAATTTTTTCCGCTTGATTCGTATAGAAAAACGTTAGTAGTGGTTTGTAGTGCAATTTTTTTCGTTTGTAGTAAAACAAAAAAATATATTTTTTTTTCGAGTATTTTTGCAGAACGATTTTTACTCCATACATTCATTGTTTCGTTTGTAGTACCATTATTTCATTTGTAGTAACGTTAATTTGGGTTTGTAGTACCATTACTTCGTTTGAAGTAACGTTAATTTCGTTTGTAGTACCATTATTTCGTTTGTAGTTGTTCGTAGTAACGTTAATTTCGTTTGTAGTACCATTATTTCGTTTGTAGTTGTTTGTAGTAACGTTAATTTTGTTTGTAGTACCTTTGTTTCGTTTGTAGTAACGTTAATTTCGTTTGTAGTACCATTATTTCGTTTGTAGTTGTTTGTAGTAACGTTAATTTTGTTTGTAGTACCTTTGTTTCGTTTGTAGTAACGTTAATTTCGTTTGTAGTACCATTATTTCGTTTGTAGTTGTTTGTAGTAACCTTGATTTCGTTTGTAGTACCATTATTTCGTTTGTAGTTGTTTGTAGTAACGTTAATTTTGTTTGTAGTACCATTATTTCGTTTGTAGTTGTTTGTAGTAACGTTAATATTGTTTGTAGTACCTTTGTTTCGTTTGTAGTAACGTTAATTTCGTTTGTGGTACCATTATTTCGTTTGTAGTTGTTTGTAGTAACGTTAATTTTGTTTGTACAAACAACTACAAACGAAATAATTGTACTACAAACGAAATTAACGTTACTACAAACAGCTACAATCGAAATGATGGTACTACAAACGAAATAATGGTACTACAAACGAAATAATGGCACTACAATCGAAATGATGGTACTACAAACGAAATAATGGTACTACAAACGAAATTAACGTTACTACAAACGAAACAATGGTACTACAAACAAAATTAACGTTACTACAAACAACTACAAACGAAATAATGGTACTACAAACGAAATTAACGTTACTACAATCAACTACAAACGAAATAATGGTACTACAAACGAAATTAACGTTACTACAAACGAAACAATGGTACTACAAACAAAATTAACGTTACTACAAACAACTACAAACGAAATAATCGTACTACAAACGAAATTAACGTTACTACAAACAGCTACAATCGAAATGATGGTACTACAAACGAAATAATGGTACTACAAACGAAATAATGGCACTACAAACGAAATAATGGCACTACAAACGAAACAATGGTACTACAAACGTAACAATGGTACTACAAACGAAATTAACGTTACTACAAACGAAATTAACGTTACTACAAACGAAACAAAGGTACTACAAACAAAATTAACGTTACTACAAACAACTACAAATGAAATAATGGTACTACAAACGAAATTAACGTTACTACAATCAACTACAAACGAAATAATGGTACTACAAACGAAATTAACGTTACTACAAACGAAACAATGGTACTACAAACAAAATTAACGTTACTACAAACAACTACAAACGAAATAATGGTACTACAAACGAAATTAACGTTACTACAAACAACTACAAACGAAATAATGGTACTACAAACGAAATTAACGTTACTACAAACAACTACAAACGAAATAATGGTACTACAAACGAAATTAACGTTACTACAAACGAAACAATGGTACTACAAACAAAATTAACGTTACTACAAACAACTACAAACGAAATAATCGTACTACAAACGAAATTAACGTTACTACAAACAGCTACAATCGAAATGATGGTACTACAAACGAAATAATGGCACTACAAACGAAACAATGGTACTACAAACGTAACAATGGTACTTCAAACGAAATTAACGTTACTACAAACGAAATTAACGTTACTACAAACGAAACAAAGGTACTACAAACAAAATTAACGTTACTACAAACAACTACAAACGAAATAATGGTACTACAAACGAAATTAACGTTACTACAATCAACTACAAACGAAATAATGGTACTACAAACGAAATTAACGTTACTACAAACGAAACAATGGTACTACAAACAAAATTAACGTTACTACAAACAACTACAAACGAAATAATCGTACTACAAACGAAATTAACGTTACTACAAACAGTTACAATCGAAATGATGGTACTACAAACGAAATAATGGTACTACAAACGAAATAATGGCACTACAAACGAAACAATGGTACTACAAACGTAACAATGGTACTACTACATACGAAATTAACGTTACTACAAACGAAACAAAGGTACTACAAACAAAATTAACGTTACTACAAACAATTACAAACGAAATAATGGTACTACAAACGAAATTAACGTTACTACAAACGAAACAAAGGTACTACAAACAAAATTAACGTTACTACAAACGAAATAATGGTACTACAAACGAAATCAAGGTTACTACAAACAATTACAAACGAAATAATGGTATTACAAACGAAATTAACGTTACTACAAATGAAACAAAGGTACTACAAACAAAATTAACGTTACTACAAACAACCACAAACGAAATAATGGTACTACAAACAAAATAATGGTACTACAAACGAAATAACGGTACTACAAACGAAGTAATGGTACTACAAACGAAATTAACGTTACTTCAAACGAAGTAATGGTACTACAAACGAAACAATGAATGTATGTAGTAAAAATCGTTCTGCAAAAATACTCGAAAAAAAAATTATTTTTTTTTGTTTTACTACAAACGAAAAAATTGCACTACAAACCACTACTAACGTTTTTCTATACGAATCAAGCGGAAAAATTTTTTTTTACCAACTTCGGGGGATGACATTTTTTTTTGTTGTCTGTATTTTTTTTTTGGCACTACTACAAACGATGTTAGCTTCACTACTATCTACTACTAACCGAAATCGTTCAAATAAACCTAAAAAAGAACAATTTTTCCAAAGTCGGGTGCCAAGTTCACATAGCCGCTTTAAATAAAAAAAAAAAAAAACCTAAACACCACTAAAAATGCAAGAGGCATATCGAAAATAGTATTTTTTTTTCTTTATTGCTAGTTCGTTAAATATTCTTTTACTTTATTCTTAAACTAGCTCGCTTCTCTCGGATGCATAACTAGAAACGTTTTAATTTTTTTGACTGTAATCCTAATTCTTTTTTAAAAATTAAAGTAGCCTAAGTTACTACTTATAACATCAGCTATCTGCCAATGAAAGTCCCGTCAAAATCAGTTCAGCCGTTTCCAAGATAAGTTGGAACAATCAGACAGACAAAAATGTTAAAAATTGTGTTTTTCTTATTATTACCATATACATATACTTATACCATACTTCCATATGCATTTAGTAAGTAATAAGACATTATTTTGACATTATAAACAGACACTTCTTTATTTATCTGTATATATTCATAAATACCATGGTGGAGTCTTTGAATATATCAAGTTTAATATCTTTGTATTGTGGTCATCATCATCAGGTGGAACTATCAGAGTCTACGTGGGAAGATTTAAACAGAGGCCCCCGCATCAGACGCAGGACCCAACAGCAAAGTGAACTGATGAAACGAGCCAACCATGTCAAAGAGATCTTACCGAGAGTGCCTTTGAAGGATATTGTTAAAGAACTTGGTGAGCTATTTAGATTTTAAATAAACCTTTATTTTAACTTAAAAGATTTTCAGTGTCATAAAATTTTCGTGTTGTAAGTTGAAACTGATCACTTAAGATGGTGGCATCTTAAGTTATGTATCGTTTTTTAAGCAACAACCCTTACAAGCACTTCATTGGTAATGGTGTAGTAGTAGTAGTATAAAGTGGAATAAGCTGCTTTCTACATAGTCTCAGTCCAAAATAGTTGCAATTCAAATCTGCTCATTAATCATGTATTAAGGATCTACACGTTTTCGAGATAGGTTCAAAGACAGAAGTAGAAATAATAAACCAAAAAAATTATAATAATGTTGTTTAATGAGAAAATTTTGAAGTAATAACTCATAGTTTGATACTTACTTGGCTTGGGCCTGTGACTGTTGATATTCTGGTACTGAGTATCTAGTTTTATGAATATGAACAAATAAAAATAATAAATAATGATAATTTGTTACAGAAAAAACCCGTAGCGTGGATGTAACAATAACCAACTTCCTTGAGGGCCTCACACAATACACACCGGAGGCTGAAGCGGTAATCGAACCCCAACCTAGCACGTCCACGGCACAACCCAAGTACATAACCCCCATACCAACGGGGGTATTCCCAAAATCTGCCAAAGAAAGGCAATTGAGCTTCCAAGAACGAAAAGCTCAAATGATAGCCGAAGCAAGACAAAGGTATATAGAAAAACATGGCCTAAACATAGCTTTAAATTGCTGATTTCATCTGTAGAGAGTAGATTTTAGACGCTATATGGATAATAAAATGTTAAAAATTGTTTTTTTTTCTAGTTATTTGGTATTTCCTTTGTTTGGTTATCAATATAACCTTTTTGAGGGATCCTTTTTAGTTTTTGCATTTCTATTTTTTTTCCTAGTTGTTGTGAGACTAAAATAGTTGAAATTGTATAAGAAAATGGTGTTCTAAAAATTATAGGATGGTCTCATTGATATTCTGAGATGGACTTTTAGCGTAGTTTATTTTTTTAGTTTAATTTCGTTTTTATTACATATTTTGAATGTAAAATATCAATTTCGATTATTTATCATTTATTGTTATTGGTAAGTTTCATTGTGACTAATTTAGAAATGGTAAAGAAAATTAAAAAATTAATATATTAATATTTCTTTTTAATTAAGAAAATAATGTGTCTGTAAATTGAACTATAGAGAGCTTGATTGAAATAATTATGTAGTTGATTATATCCCAATGTAAAAAAAAAATATTTTTAATTGCTAATAATAATATAATATCAATCAATGGTATCGTTTTTTGTATAAATAAAGTAAATAATGAGTGAAAACTATACAAATGTTTAAAAAGATGTATATTTCTGCTTCTATGGTAAACTATTTTTCTTTCATTCAGAAGTTTAAAAAAAAAAGCAATAAATTATATTTATACTGTCTTACAAGTTTATTTTAGTTTCGTTACAGTGGAGAAGTATTTTATAGAAAAATAATCAATTTATTGTAGCAATAATAGTGATAATGTTTAATGGATTTATGAAATAGATTTTATCCATTTTAAATAAGTTTTTAGTTTTTGAGAAAAGTTCTTGGAAAAACTGTTTTTTTTTTCTATTCTATGAATAACACATGAATATATTTCTCTATTATATAGTACACCGCCTACCGTTTTTATGAACATTTACTCCTCTACCTCAAGGTTGCCTGGAAGAGATCGCTTCCAGCGATAAGGCCGCCTGCTGTGCATCTTTTCTTTGTGTTGTTTTTTTATTTTATATTTATTTTTGGTGTACAATAAAGAATATTATTATTATTATATTTCAAAATAAATATATTATTTCATTCTTTGAAAAGAATCCTTAAATAACTAAAAATTGATGCACTTTTTTATTCTTTAATCAGGGTTGCCACGTTAAAAATAAGATTTGTGAAGTGGTTTTATGAATTAAAAAAAAAAATTATATAGCATTATTTATTATAAAGACTATTATAAAATAATTATTTTTAAGAAAAATATACATTTTCTTTCCAAACTAGAATTATATTATCTGTGAATATATATATTTCAAAATGTTAGCCTTCATTTTATTCAAGGTTCTTTTTGAATGGCTTGATAAAATGCAATTTCATCATTTTCTTATTTATATTAAGAAAATTAGTCATATCTTTGCCTTTTGTGAACTGATTTTAATTTTTTTTTAATATATATAATACACCTGGTTGGTCATCAGATATAAATTTGCAAAATTCCACCTGTAAGAGTGGGTTCATTATTTTTTACACAATTTTGTGTACTTTTGATTAAGGTGAGTGTAGTGTATTGTTAGTTAAAGGTAGGTTATTTCTTGAGGATGGTTTTTGAAGAAAATTGTCACCCCTAATAAATCCTATACATATTTTATATTATTTTATTTTCTTCAAAATTATTTTATTTTTTGTTCTTCAAAATGACAGTTGGTTCCTTGAACTTTTCCCCGTTTTAAAGTACTCGTAGAGGAATAATTTATATTGTTTTAGTCATTAGATCTCATAACATTATTTCATTTGTAGGGCAGTTTGGAAAAATTTTAAATTATTTTATCATTTCTATATATGTATTATATATATATATATATGTATTATATATATATATGGGAATTTTATATAGTATTAAATAGGTTCTAAGTGTCTACATTGGAGATCGGTGGTTCAATTTCCATGTGAAGTATTTCATATTTTTCTCTGCTTGAGTCTTAAGGTAAAGCATAAAGTTATTTTAATGTTTTCATATGTACTTTTAAATATTGATTTATTCTGAATTTATTTTGCAATTATTGCTCTTTTTCATATATATTTTTATATATACGATTATTTTATTCTGCCTTATATGTACAAAATTTATATCGTATCATCGTTTTTCATATTAGATTCGTATATTGTAAAAAATATATATATTTAATAATAATAATTGTAAATATTCAAAGTTGACTTGAAAACTAGAGTTTTCTGTAAAATTAAAACTACGGCTTTATCTTCATTATAAAATATTTGAATCTTTTAATAATAAAGTTAGTTTTTCTTAAAGATAATGCATAAATATTATATAACTCCATTTATGGACTTATCGTGTTGGTTTCAAAGGGATACTGTAATTTACTACAACTTGCTAATAAAATAATAATTTTCCAGAAAAAGCATTGATTCCCTTTCTGCCTGAACTTTAAAGTTTTTCTTAGAACTCTTATGGAGTGTATGAAGTCACTCCGTTTCCGCCAGAGTTAACTTTAAAATAAGTATAGTTCGGAGTGGTCCAAATATCTTTTAATAACAAAATTTTACATTTTATACATATGTTGGCTCTTAAGTCTCATATAATCTCGAGTCTACGACACAAGATCAGAGGCAAAAATATATGAAAATCGGTTTTTTAAACCGTTCAGTTAGCTGCTTAAGTATAAAGAGTGGGAAATGCTAAGTATATGTGATACTGGTAACTGACAGTTACCAGTGTTTACAGTTACTAACTGTGAATGTCACAGATTAAACTTATGAGAGCCATTAAAAAAGCATCTAATGTTTATTAAAATGATTAAATCTACTGACGCACTAACAAACTTACTCTATACCTTAATTGATAAACTAACTTACTCCAGGAGCAAATTTTTCGGGAGACATTTAAAACTTTATAATATTTGCACTACTTATTAAAAAATCTAAAATACCGCTGGTAGATAATATCTGTTATTACTGTTGTGTCTACTAAATCAAAAAAGCAGTCATGAGGATTGCCATGACATGACATGGAGAAGTGAAAACTTAAAACTAGGTACAAACAAACAGTTGTTATTTTTGTATATTTAAATTAATTGTTTGATTTTAAATTAAAATTTGTAAATTAAAACTGTTTACATTTATCTGGTTTTGACATCTATCGGCACTCTGAGTGTTAGCGCTAACACGTCACGTGACCATGTCGATGACGACTTACATGAATTTACTTCCCATCCAAACGGGCCTATAGAAGTTTTCACTTCAATAATATTTTTTGACGAAATGTGGAGTTGGCTGGTTTGTCTATATACGGTTTTTCATTATAATACAGTATTTGAGTGAGCGTATTCGTTCAGTAGGGTTATCCACCCATATTCCATTGGCAACAATGCAAGTAACACTAACTTTTACGAAACGGTGCTATATGACATTTTCAGTATGAGAGCAGATAGAAAATTAATCTGGTTTTGTTTTGAATCCTTCAATAGATGGCGCTGTTATAGATGTTACGAGTTCGAAGAGAAATTAAATGAACTTCATTTTATTATAACTAACCTTAGTTTGGTCAAAATTACATACTTTGAAACTAACACGAAACACCCATTACGTTATATATTGATAAAAAGAAATATATTTTTGCATATGATGAATTAATTAATATAAAATAAATATTCTCAGTAGGTCGCAATACTGCCCTATCGCTTCCACATCTATCGTAGATGTAGTTTGTAATTAATTAAATAAAATATTGTTCACACATGATTTTATTCATTTATATCCACCATTTAGTTGTATTTTTGTGTATTCAGTGGTTCCAATTGTAAAGAGATTTTCATCATTATTTTTTTACATTGTCAAGAAATGGTCAAACAGATAGTTTCTTAGGATAATCTATACAATAATAAAATTGTAACTAAGCCGAATCTGTACGTTAAATATTTTTTTGAAAATCTTATTGAAATAAACAATATTATCGATACAGACGCCGAATCTATAGTTTTTAGAATTTTTTTTGTCTGTCTATCTGTCTGTTACCGCATCACAGAAAAACCACTGAATGTTTTTTGATGAAATTTGGTATAGTGATAACTTTTTACCGTGGGAAAATGTCTCATTTCTAAGAAAAAATACAAAAACTGCAATGTAAGAGTATACTAATATGTAAAACCTAAGTATTTGGTTTTCGGTCATTTGAACGTGAAAATGAAAATCATCCTTAATCATGAAGAAATCAAATTTATGTATTTTTAAAGTCTGTGTAAATTAGTTTAAATGTACCTAATTGTTATGGAATAGGTAACATCTAAGAGTTAGAAAGCTAAGAGGGGCTTATTAGTAGTGTACATATACTTTTTGGTAGTGATAGCACAGTTGTAAATTGTAATGTTCTCGTATGGGAAACCGAGTGAAGTGGGTTCAAATCCCGGGTTTGCACCTCTGGTATTTTCATTTGCGAATCATTTCCAACATGTTTGCTATTTGTCTTACGGTTAAGAAAAACATCGTGAGGCACCCCGCACTTGGCCAGCGTGGTGGACTATAGCCTGATCCTCCTCGTATTGAAGGGAGGTCCGTGCCCAGCAGTGGGACGTTAAAAGTGCTATACTTTTTAAAGACGATTTTCAACTAAATACACTATACAGTTTAATTTGGTTAGAATTTTATTGTACATAAAAATAAAATTTAGTATTTTTAATTGACTTTTTTTATCAATTAGTTCTATTTACAGGCATATTTCTTATAAGAGAGAATGATAATTTTTATTCTTTCATTAAAAACGATCATTACAAAATAGTTATGGATAAAATACTAATAAATAGTATATTTATCGCTTTTTTTTCTCAACAACGTAGTTTAAAAACTGTTTATGTCGATATATCTAAACTAATATAATAAAGAAGTAAAGTTTGTGAATTGTGAGTTTGTGAGGTTGTAGAGGGTAATCTCTTGATCTACTGAACCTATTTAGATGAAATTTGGTAATAAGATAGTTTGAGACCCTGGGAAGGACATAGGATACTTTTTATCCTGGAAATCATCCCTTAAGGCAGTGAAAATGAGGATGAAAGTTTGTAAGGCGAATAAACTTAGGGTATAACACGAGCGAAGCGAGGGTGAGTCGCTAGTCTCGTAATAATTCCCGTGTAATGAAACTATCATGATTACTACAAAAGGTTACTAAAACACGTAAAATTTTAGCCGAAAGATGACAAAACGGTATTAAATAATATGTCATTTATTGTCAAAAAAAACATTGTGTTACTTCTAGCTTTATTATAATCCAAGTCGCTGTGGGGTGCGTCGTGGGGTCGCCAGGCCGGGGGTCGCTATCTCCTGCTTGACTGGAACATCTTCTTCTTTCTTCTTCCTCTCTTCTGCCATCTTGATCTCTGCTTGTTTCATCTCTTCTTCCATACGCTGGAGGTGAACAGCTGCTTCTTTGCGTTTGTCGCGGTTTGTTCTGAAAGAATGCGTATTATGTGGATCAATAATATATGTATTATGTGGCAAGTGACTTCGGTGGTTTAATGGAGGGCATGAACAGTTTGCAGTCTGAAACTCGGGGTTCGAGTTTTCGCTCAAGCAAAGTATAGTTTGGAGTTTTTTTTATCAAGAAAATCTCATTAACATTCTGGAGTTGTAGAGGCGAGGTGAGGAGAACAGGTGTTGTGTCGGTTCTGTGCCTGATCTTAATGAGAATGTTGAACTGTCTCACTGTCTCTGTGTGTGACATACACATGCTCTGCACTATAACATCTCCCGTGCACAGTATTAAAATACACACATCTATGCACATCTGTGCACATATAGAGCACAGACAAAATTATTTTTTTTTAATTAATAATTTATTTAAAAAATGCAAAAAAAAATTATAAATGAGTTCAATTTTTCGAAAAATGTAGTTGTTTTTTTTTAATTATTAAAAATTGGAAATTAAAAAAAACATTTTCGATAACACGAAGAGATTTTTTTTCCACCCTCCGAATTTCGCCGCCCCTAAAAATTTTCCGGCACTAGCCACGTGCCTCTAGTCACTAGTGTAAATTCAGCGCTGGTGACACAGTGCAAAAACTCACTGCTCATCATCATCATGCTAGGCAGTCCTCATGCATACAGGAAAAACATAACAAATGATACCACAAACAAAACCAACCAACTCACTTGCCAGTCTCCTTAACCGAGAAGAACATAGGTCCCAACTCGGCCAGCCACCTGCCGTCCACGGCGGTGACGCAGTGCATGTACTCCTTGCTGGTCATCATCAGCTCGTGGTAGACAACGTAGTCCGGCGAGTTCCCGAGCCCGAACAGCGCGGACGTCGGGTGCAGGTGGCAGGGCATGCCGGTGCGGCAGTTCACGTACTCACCTATACCTTTTAGACGAGCCGCTTGTTGGAAATAGGCTGGGGGATTATAATAAATAAATTAAATATATTGGAACATCAACACACAGCACCATCTAGTTCCATGATAAGCTACGAGGCTTGTGTTATGGATATCAGATAATTGGTACACTACAGATATGTAACTTTAAATACATAGATATCTATATTCTATACTAATATTATAAAGAGGTAAAGTTTGTGAGTTTGTGACGTTGTAGGGGGTAATCTCTGGGTCTACTGAACCGATTTAGATGAAATTTGGTAAGAAGATAGTTTGAGACCCTGGAAAGGATAATTTTTATCTCGGAAATCGTCCCTTATGGGGGTGAAAATGGGGATGAAAGTTTGTATTGGGAAGCAAACGGGACAAGGGACAAACTCGAGCGAAGCGAGGGTCAGTCGCTAGTCTCCTAAACGGCAGGGATGATTTTAATGATATTTTTGTGTATGTTTGAGTGGGTCCCTGCAAGGTTTGAATTTACAAAGGGATCCGGTAGGTGGCGCTGCAGTCGGTGTGTTACAAAATTTTCATAAAAGACTCCAATTTCTGAGCTATAAATAAATTTAAATTGTTGATTAAATAAAATAAAAATCGATGTTTGTATATATGTTTCATATAGACTCCAAAACAGCTGGAGCGATTTTGATGAAATTTTCATGTAATCTTCAGATTAGCCTAGCGGGTGATCCTGTGAATTTTTTTAGCGACCGGAAGTTTAGACGCTGGCGAAGCCGCGGGTACTGCTAGTTATAAATATAAACACACATGACTGGAGTACAAACATCCGTGCTCTTAAGTAAATGAATGCCTCCAGTGGGACTCGAACCAGCGACCGCTGGGACAGCAAGTAGGGTCACTACAAACTGAGCGAAACTTGTCTCAAAATCGTCGTCGTCGATAGATCACTATAATAACATTACACTGTGGACATGAGAACGTTTGTGAGTGTATGTTTCTTTACGCTGGAATAGCTCAATGAATTTTAGTGGAGTTTGCAACCGATATACTGACTATAGACCTCAGTATCTGGTATAAGTTTCAACTTGCTAGGTTCACCCGTTTGTGAGAAATCGGTGGTGACACACGGACAGGCGGACAAGAGAGTGATCTTATAAGGGTTCCTTTTTTACCTTTCGAGGTACGGAACCCTAAAAAAGGTTTAACTGTAAAATCGGGTTGTAACTCAGTCACTCACCGGAGCAGATGCACTTGCGCACGGTGTCCCAGTCGGTGCCGCACGAGCGCAGCGGCAGGCGCTGCTGCTGCAGGATGTCGCGCAGCTGCTGGCGCACCTCGCGCACCTTGCGCAGCGCCTTCGCGTGCACGAAGTGCTCCGTGCACCACGCGCTCGAGTAGCTGCAGCGACCATACGTCACACTTTGTAAGACTTTGTGAGATTTCATGAGAATTTAGGAGATTTCATGAGATTTAGTGAGACTACTTCTACTACTACTACTATGTATCCATACCAACTTTCGATCAGATCAAGAAATCCGTCTCGGTAAATATAAGCTCACTTGCAAAGTGAGCTTATATTTCGATTAGTTCTATTGAAACATTGCCAACGTAAACACGTTTACAAAGCCGCATTGTGATGATGAAGAAGATTTTTTTTCGGTAAGTACTAAGTATATGTAGATTAAGTCAATATTTTAAGATTTAACCTAGGAAATAATATAAAAATGACATTTTGAACAATTTTAAATCAGCTACAAACGTTTAGCGAACTTCAAAGAAGCAAACAGAAAGAAAACATAACGATTTAGCTCACAAAGCAACGATGGGAAAAAGTGCGTTACGAAATGATCGTAAGTGTATAATGATAATTTGAAGATTTGTGACTTTATTACAAAGGGCTATGGTGTTGATTAGGTTGAAAATAAAAACTTCAAAGAAATAAAAACCGACTTCAAACAAAAGCACTAAAAAGTAAAAAATAACTGATTGATAGTTTTCATTTACTATACATACCTAATCAAATAATTTCGAAGTCGGTGCCAGCCGATACAAAGCCAAGCACAACCAAAGCACAACATTGCTTTTGTTTGAAGTAGGTTTTTATTTCTTTGGTAAAAAAGTTTTCATTTTTCCCTTTTTAGTGTAGACAGTAGTAACAAAGAAAGAATTCTAACGCTTGCCAAATCAAACAAAATAAGCCCAAACTCAAAGTATTTACTATTAGCCGTTGAAGAGTTCCACCTATCCACCTTCTGGCCTTACCATCAGATCAGGTCAACAATACCGAACCACTGTACTATCAACGGAAATAGAAACACTTGCAAAGTTTCATGTCAATATGACAATTAGAAGTAGGTTAAATTCATCATTAGCTATTTTTCCAGCCTTAGGGGTGGTATTTTTTTTTAAATTTAAATGGGACCAATCTTGAAGTAAACACTTTCAAACAAAACAAAAATTGTCCAAATTGGTTAATAAATGACGGAGTTCTAGGTAACAAACATAAAAAAAACATACAGCCGAATTGAGAACTCCTCCTCCTCCTTTTTGACGAAGTCGGTTGATAAAACTATTATAAAACTTTGTCTTGGTTCGTTAGTATACAAATGAAGCTGTATAAGTGCATATTCGCGCGGACAGAATTTAGCTTTGATTTTGTATGTGACACGTTATATAGTAGTATTGTTGATCGAAGATACCAACAAATACTGGTTGTACTTAACCGTAAAGAGATTTTTCTTCTCTTAAAAATACATATTTTCGGCTATATTAAAGTAAAATGTGTACTTAATACTAATAGAATTGACAAATTGGTCTTTTAGACAAATTAACACTGAGACGTGTTTTACGTATATCTGTCGCAAGGATATTGTCAAAGTAATCAAAATCATAAAGAACTCTTTTTCTTACATTAAAAAAACGGGCAATGTTAGGTATATTATAATTTCACAATGCCTATTCAGTGACATTGTAATTACTCTAGTTAAATTGTCAATCCTAGCAATATTTAGATGTGAGAAACCTCGGAATACGATCTGAAGTAGCACATAGGCTCAAGACATCTATGAACGCACTCAAGAGTGAAACAAGGGTAAAGCGCTAGTGTACTGTCTATATATAAAAAAGATTTGACGCAGTGAGAAATATAGCCTTCGCTTTACGTGCTCTGTTCGTGCCGTGACTTAGATTACTGAGAATTTCTTAACACAAAACCCTATTTGACAAAACCAAGAAATCGAACCCAGGATCTTTATATCTGCAGTCGTTAGATCAACAAAAAGTTAACATTTGTTACTAATATCACAGATGACTCGTGACATAATACAATATTAGTACTAGTACAGCCCCATTCCATACACAAGAGTTGGACAGCGCTATTTCGGGCTACTCTTTAGGTTATTTCTGTTTGCTTGAGTAGATAATAATTTAGATGTTAAATCGCACATACTCGTAGTTGAACTGTTTCATTTTATAAATATGTCTAAGCTAACATACAGTAAATATTTTAAAAGTAAAAGATATGATTTGAGAGTACAAGTGTTATTAAAGTAATGAGTTGCATTCGATTAAACAAATTTCAATGATTTTAACAATGTTTATATATATATTTATATATATAATATGAATAATTCATAAAAAATAGAAGCACCATTTGTGAATAGGCACTACAAACCATCATCTATAATAAAATCAATAAGAAAATTTGATTTACGAGCACATTACTTCGGTTTCATTCACATTGAATATTTTTTTAAATCATAATATATACTTATTACTTTTTTGGTAATTCTTTATCTTATGTTAATTTAACGCAAACTTCAAAAACAAATCGCATATAATGCTATCGATTGACATATATTTGAACTATTTTTTCTTTGTTCCTGACCCGACCTCGCAAAATATTAAACTATGAAGAATACTTAAATAAAATAATTCTAACAAAATGTCACTTTAAGAGCAAATGTCTTACTTGTTAGCTTTCCATTGATTGAACAGATGTAGCAATGTGAGATGATCGGACTCTGGCACTTGGAACTTCTCTTTCACGGAGTCAGCTTCTTCCTCTCTACCTTGCGGACGGTAGAACACCGACGGGACTGATAGCATTGAAACTGGGGGGATGAAATAAATAATAATTATTATAGGACGTTTGGCTCAGTTTGTAGTGTTGTAGTTGTGCCAGCGATCGCGGGTTCGAGTACCGGTTAGGGAATTCATTTGTGTGACGTGTATGAATGTTTGTATTACAGTCATGGGTGTTTATTGTTTATATGTTTATAATATGTATGTATTTAAAGTTATATATGTGTAATGTATCAACTATCTGGTATCCATAACACAAGCCTCGTAGCTTACCATGGAACTAGATGGTGCTGTGTGTTAATGTCCGAACATAATTATTTAATTATCTCTTTTTATCATCCTACTTTTGGGACATAGAACTTCTCTTAATGCGAGGGGGAGGTCATAGTCCACCACGCTGGTTAAGTGCGAGTTAGTATACTACATTCGTTTTTAAAGAACTAGATTATTCGATAGGTTCACTGAGACATACAGATTTATGATGTTTTCCTTGGTCGTATTAGTATCGTGTTAAAAATTGTTTGCACGTGAAAGCGTAAGTATGAGATCCGGCTTTTGAACTCGCATCACTTTTATTCTCAAGAAAGCGCGTTATTAATGCGCGCTACCGAAATTAACAAAACAAATTATAATATAATCCAATACATTTAAAGAAAATATTCCGTTTAGCCTATTTTAAACCTAAAACGGAATTTAAAATCGTGTAAAAATTATCAAAAAAAAAAACACAATTTGACCAGTCTTTTAATTTTTGACGTCTTTGTAGACTAATCGATACCTCACTCACCAATAATAACTACTATCATCATCACTAATAAACACTACACCCCATCTCTTCAAAGACTGAGCATGTGACACTGCGGCGGGTCGAGGGGGAAAGCCCCACCACTATAAGGTGAGGGGTTCCATCTCGAGCCCCACCACATACACTTACCCCATAGGGCATAGATCATCATAAATCATTCAACTCACCAATAATAAGCACTTCAGCACTACACCCCATCTCAGCGGAGACGATGAGCATGTGGCACTGCGGCGGGTCGAGCGGGAACTCGGCCATCTGGCGGCCGAGCGGCGTGAGCGCGCCGGTGCCGTCCAGCGCACCCAGGATCCACAGCTGGTACATCGAGTTCAGGATCGTGTCCTGCTCACCGAGTCACGGGTTGCTTAATTACCAATAAAACTATATTTTCAGGTTTTGTCTCTTGATTTTCCGCTCTCTCAATAAATCCGCAAAAAAGACAACGAAAAATAGTTTTATTTAAAATATTGAAATCGCTGAGAAAGTATTACGCTTAGAGATCAATCAAGTATAGCTAGATTTTTTTTATCGATAGCTAATTTTCGCAATTTGTTTATTTATTATAATCTACTAGGGACTTGCGTCTCTAAAAATCTAATAGCCTATGTACTTCATACTTCAGGTTATAATCTGTGTACTACATTTTATCTAAATTCACCCAGCCGTACGCTAGTAAAGGAGTAACAATCACACAAACATACACATACACGCACACAAAATTTATATGGTATACTGAACTTGGACTCCCGTTGAGTTTTGAATAAATATGACTCTTCTATTCCTTGTACTTATCCGTGAGCTCAGCACAACACATTTCAATCTTGTACGTCCCCCTATCAGTCATAATTTCACCCTTCTCACACACATAAGGGGTAATTCATTAATTACGTACATTTTTAACCAGAAACTTTCTCGGTCCCCTTGTACTTCTATATCCTAGTCCTACCTACTATGATATTCATACCTAACATCCTCTATATAACACTTTTCCCCACTCATGATATGCTTATAACACGTTTACCTATTTCTATATACTATAGCTAACTCTTCGGCTAAACTCCCTATAATATACTCATTCCTAATCTATACTAATTTAACGGTTAGTATGGAATAAATAAGACTATATATTATATTACAGCTCTGCTCTCTTAGGTAGTAGCAACTAGCATTATGATATATAGCCTATAAGCCTTCCTCTATAAACGGACTATTTAAAGAATTTTTCAAATCGGATTAATAATTCCTGAGATTAGTGGGTTTAGATAAACAAAATCTGCCTCTATTATTAGTATATATTAGTATAGATTAATATCAGTTAAGAGATTCTCTTTTACTTCTTAACAAAATCCTACCCAATTTTGTAGCAAAAATATTGAACTGACCTGTGGGGGAGGGTCCATGAAATGAAAAGCCAGTAGATCTTCAACTCCTAAGGACTTTAGCAACAGCACAGTATTCGCGAGGTTGGTCCTTTGTATCTCAGGCACTGTGGCCGCTAAGAGCTCTTGTTGGAATTGTCTTTGGGTGTACAGACAGAAGGCCTTCCCTGGGCCGGTTCTACCAGCTCGACCAGCTCTCTGCCTCGCGTTAGCTTGGCTTACTGGATATATCTAAAAATTATGTTCAAACAGTGAATTTTAAGACTTCACGTATTGAAGATTATGTGTGTTTGTAAAAGTCTAATTGAATCAGTCTACTATAACAAAGTTGTAACTGGTAGCCTAGTGGTAGCGTGCTCGCTTGGGAAAACGAGTAAAGCGGTTTCAAATCCCGTGTGCTAGTATCTCTGATATTTTCATGTGCGAATTATTTCCAACAAGATTATCACTTCTCTTACGGTGAAGGAACATGAATATCTAGGAGAAATTAGCAAGTTCTTGAAAGACATGTGAAGTCCGCCAAGCCGACATTCATTCACAAAAGTCAAGAAATGTCAGACAGACAGACAGACATACAGACAGACAGACATACAGACAGACAGACAGATAAAAATTCTAAAAACTATATATTCCTCTCTATGAATAATAATGACTATTTCAATAAGATTTTCCAAAAAATATTTAATGTACAGATTCGACTCAGTTACAATTTTATTATGACATAAAAAAACATATATTTTCAGAAAATAGTAAATACGACGGTAAAGTTAAAAATATTACATACTTGTAGCGCGTCCATACCAATCCTTGGGTTGTACACTTTCAGCTTGCAATAACCGCTGTCTATCACGTACATTATGCCGTCTACTGTGAGAGATGTTTCTGGAAGGAATAAATGCCAATATTTTAAAGAGTGTAGTTTCTCAAATCTCTTAACCAATAGTTAAATAATTTAAATAGATAACATTTTTTAAATGTTGTGAAAAAAATACACTCTCTGACGACCAGGGGCGAACTATGAATTCGGGGCCGCTGAGCTAACTCTTCTTGGGGGCCTAAACAATTTTAACTAAATTTTATACAGACAAAATGACTAAATTGATTTTGTCTGTACTTTTTATTAATATCTATAAGTTTTAGTCTATGTATGTAGTACATAATATATTAATTTCGATGATCGATTACGAACGTTAAAAAAATTTTCTTGTATTTTTATATTTATTTTTAATATTTGTTGTTACAGCGGCAATAGAAATACATACTCTGTGAAAATTTCAACTCTACCTATTACGATTCATGAGTTACGGACGGAAGGACGGACAGAGGTACCCTTCGGGTACGGAACCCTGAGATGATATCAGAAAGTTGCATACCCGCAGTTTGATAAAAATCAAACCAATGAATTTAAATAAAAGCTAATATAAATAGCATACCAGCGATATTCGTAGCGACAATGCACTTCCTCTGTCCGGGTGGGGCTCGCTGAAATATTTTCGCTTGCAGATCTGCCGGTAGCTGAGAGTATATAGGCAGCACTGTCAAGGGCGGGGCCGAGTCTAGGTCACCTAGGCGTTCTGTTAGGACCTGAAATTATTTTTAATTATTTACCTAATCGTCCTTCTAACATTGGAGTATAATGTGAAAGGTTGTATGTATGTGTGTCTGTTTGTTACTCTTTCACGCTGACGGCTGAACGAATTTGGATGAAATTTAATATCTGAAGTATAGGCTACTTCTCAGGTTGTAGGGACGTACCCGAACGAAGCGAGGGCAAGTCTCTAGTATTATATATGTATACGAAATTGTTTTTATTGGTCAGTTTTTACCTCATTCTATTTAGCAACGAATCCCTTCGTGTTGTGATGTTTTAAAAAAATGTATTTATACCGGTAATTTAAATATTTCCCATTTTAAGTTATGCATTTGTAAACATAAATATGTACATACATTTAATACCAACTTTTTACTCCGATAGCCATTTTATTTATAAATTACTTTACATAAAAAAATATGAACATTCATATACAAGAATTTTATTTCTATCTAAAATACAAAGGAATAATAATTCTATACTACTGCAACTATCATACATCTATCTATAAATATAATAAAATTGAAACTAAGCCGAATCTATACATTAAATATTTTTTTGGTATTTTTTATTGAAATAGACGTTATTATCGATACAGAGGCCGAATGTATAGTTTTTAGAATTTTTGTCTGTCTGTCTGCGACCGCATCACGAGAAAAACAATGGACAGATTTTGATGAAATTTGATAGCTGGTTATCCGGGTCAACATACCGGATACTTTTTACTGCGGGAAAATATCTCATCTCTGAGAAATCTAAACTAAACGTTAAAACGTAAATAGGGACGAAACCGAGCTGAGCGAGGGTGAGTCTAGTTGAATGATATTAGTCTATTAAACAAGTTATCTAGTAAGGCTCCTACGAGGGCGTGACACTGCCTTATTTGCAATAAGACCGATATTTTTAGCCACACCTTCAATTACATTAAACTCGCATACTGATAACATCGTTATCGTTGCAAGTGGATTAAGATTGCCGTTGAATAGGTTTTCTCATTTTCTTAAACAGGTTTTATTTATGTTTCATTATTTATAGTGGTACTCCCTATAGATTAAAGTTTTTATTATAAACGTGATTTGTGTGTCACTTTTAAAGTTAAAAACGTAAATACACCGACTTCAAAATGTATTAACAATAATTCCATTTTTTCCTAAAGAGTGGAACTTTCTTGGAATTTATATGAATCCATTTTTACAACTTATTTATTGAAAAAAAAAAAAAACTTGAAAATCGGTGAACAATGCGCGAATAAATCGTTCAACATACACGTCATTATTACCCTTTTTTAAAGTCGGTAACGTAAAGTAAATATTACAAATCCCTACTACATTTACAAACTTCGTCGCCTTATTGCTAATTTATAATTTGGTACGCCTAGTGATGTTCTTTCATAAGAGAACTTACTTAACTTTAATTTTCGATCCCGTTATATAAGAAACACCAAGGACCACAATTTGTTTTTATTTTATATTAGCCATATTATCATTTACTCTTTTAATGGTAAAATGATGGGATATAAAAACACTATCATCAAACTTTAAATGGATAATGTAAAGGATATATAATATTCATTTTACATTCTAAATAATCAATCACGTATCTATATATCAAACAAGTGCGAAGACGCACATCGCAAGCAAATAACAAGTACTATGTAAAAGTCCAAGTCTATTTTTAAACAAAAGTACAAATAATCTTATTAGTTAGCAGTTACCTCACAGGTGACTTCAATGTCCTCTTGACCCGGCATAAATATCAGGATGTCGCCGTCGTCTGGTTGTAGATGAATTTGTAGTGCCTGCAAGAAAACAGTATAAGCTTAGAGAAATAAATAATATTAAGTAGACATAAACCAATTTTAATCATATTTTACTTCTTGTATGATAAAAATAGGATGTATTAAAATATATGTAGGTTACTATATAAAATAACATTTATCTATACATATAATAAAATTGTAACTAAGCCGAATCTGTACATTAGATATTCTTTGGAAAATCTTATTGAAATAAACATTATTATCCATACAGAGGCCGAATCTGTAGTTTTTACAATTTTTGTCTGTCTGTCTGTCTGTTACCGCATCACGGAAAAACCACTGGAGGATTTTGATGAAATTTGGTATGATGGTAGCTGGTTATCCGGGTCAAAACATAAGATACTTTTTACCGCGGGAAAATATCTCATTTAAGAGAAAAAATACAAAAATTGCAATGTAAGAGTATACTAATATGTAAAACCTAAGAATTTGGTTTTTGGTCATCTGATCGCGGGCGGAGCCGCGGGCAATGCTAGTTTATAATAAAGTCATAGTCAGGTGACACTTTTTGAAATTTACATATATATGTATTTAAAATCGTCCAGACCACTTTAATCCCTGAACCTAACATTTTAAAACATAAATTTTACTTTTATTTAAATTAAAAATAATATTTTGTAGTTTTAAAAAAAAACTAAGAAATTTTATTCACAATTAGCAAAATGTTGCGTAACAACCAACTCCACTTTTTTGAAGTCAGTAAATGACAATTTTTGAATTTATAGTCTGATTTTTAATTCCACGGAATTCTGACATTTCAGAAGTGTTGTCAACGTTGAAACATTGTCACTAAAAACGGAAAGCATTTTAGCAAAATAAAAAAATAAACCTTTCTTGAAGTTAAGGTTTCAATTAGAAAAACTAAGAATTAAAAAATTATTGATAACTCTAAAATGGTAATGATTTTTTTTATTATCATAATAAGAAGTTACAATAATTATTAAGGAATTTATTTTTCTATTACAGGAATCCCTGTACAATAAATAATCCATAGGTTGGCTTTTTTTCGTAAAACCCCTTTGTTTGTAAAATATTTTGTTTTACTCTGTTTTATTCATTTACCTAACCATTAAAAATGTACATTATAGTTAGCGTGTATTGATTGCACAAAATAAAGACTATTTACAATGTCATACATATAGTTTACTTGATCTAATTCTGTTTCATATTTTTTGTTATTTTATATTAATAAAATACAAACCAGAAAAGGTTTATGATATCTGAATTGTCAAAGAATGATAGCTGTCATATTTCTGTGGAATTAAAAATCAGACTATAGTTATTTTACCACCGCGTTTCGCATTCGATGTTTTCCATAGCAGTATTTGCAAGAGGGGAATCATGTCAAACATTAACATAAACTTTGCCATGGTTAAAACTAAAAAAATACACATATCTAGTAAGTATACTTTGTTAGTAGTTTGACAGATTACCATCAACACCATCTATCGCCTATTCAAGCAGACAAATATGTATAGCCTGAATTAGTGCAAGCAATAAACATGCGTGGTTACTGTGCCGTTCACCAGTACCTATAGCTTCGTCTATTTTTGACGATGTAATCTGTATACAAATATTTTTCTGTTCCATACAAATATTTGCAATGAGTGGGGATTGAACTTGTGTTCTTTAGATAATTAACAATGCCATCTACAGTGAAAATCTTCCATTTATGTATGTATAAATACTTTATCAAAAAATAAATATTAAATTCCCAAGCGATGAGAGGAAAAGTAAAATTAGATAACATCACATCACATAAAATTAATATATGTATGTATGTGTGCATATGTATACAGGATGGAACAAACGTATGGGACATGAAAGAAAAGTGCCTTAAATATTGAATTTATCAAGTTTTGCTCCAAGGAAACATTGCTTTATTTTTAAAAATAATAATTCCTGAACCGGTAATCGAACCAACTAAAATATCATGAAATAAGGTTTCCTTTGAGTAAAACTTACTATTTTCAATATTTAGACATTTTTCTTCCATGTCCCGTACATTTGTTCCACGATGTTAGTTACGAGTGGATATGTATATAAATTGTAAGATTTCATAGTTTCCCTTAATTGTAAGATTCGAATTACGATGTTTGTTCGAGAGATTTTATCTTTACCATTGACTCTATTGGTTCGATACGATAATGAAGGTGTATTTTACTGTATTTTAATTGGTTCGATTATCGGTTCAGGTAAGCTTTTTTAAAAAAAACAGTTATTATTATTTAAAAAAAAGGAACGTTTCGTTCGAGCAAAACTTGATAACTTCAATATTTAAGGTACTTTTCTTCCATATCCCATCCATTTGTTCCACCCTGTATATTTGAAGATTTTACTACTTCATTTAATAACTACTACTATATTTAAAATAAATTATGATGAATTGATAACAAAAGCGTTATCATTCGCGCTATCATTCAATGATGTTAGATAATAGTGACTTACCCTAGCTTTGCTCGGGTGCGTCTCTTCGTGCTTACGAATTAATTCAAAATATTATTTTTTTATACGTATTAAAACATAATAATTATGTATGTAATTATTATTTTTTTACTGTCTATTGCATAAAAAAAAGACTTGCTTTTATGTTTGTTCTCGTACGTTCCTTAATCATTCATCCATAAGGACACATTTGGCTCAGTTTGTAGTGACCCTACTTGCTGTGCCAACGGTCGCGGGTTCGAGTCCCGCTGGGGGCATTTATTTGTGTGATAAGCACGAATGTTTGTACTCCAGTCATGGGTGTTTATATTTATAAAATGAATGTATTTAAAGTTATATATGTGTAATGTATCAACTATCTGGTATCCATAACACAAGCTTCGTACCTTAACCATGGAACTAGATGGTGCTGTGTTAATGTCTCCAACATATTTATTTATTATTTATTACTAAGGAGTAAGGACTGACCCGGGCGAGGCTTGCAAGGGATTTACCCTTGTGTACCGCTAGTGTAAAATAAAAATCATATATTAACAGATTCAACCCTTAACTTGCCAACAATATTTCATTGACAAAAACATATAAAAGATGGGTAAAACTAAACATATATGATAATATAACGTAGTGCATACAATATACAATGATTGGTTGACGTCATTAGACGACGTTACCTAGATAGCTTATCAAATAGGGAAAACACGCTTGCGTATTTATTTTAATTAGCACACCTTTTCTTAATATAAATAGACCATGCCTTTAATTTGCTATATACATATAATTAAAGTGTCATTGATCGCTGTCTGTACATGGAAAATATTTGAGAAAAACTATTGATGGGGGACTTTATTAACGCAATAGAACCCAAAACAATGATTTTTAGAATTTTCGTCTGTTTGTCTGTGCGCGTTTGTGCGCGCTAATCTCAGAAACGGCTAAACCGATTTGGGTGCGGTTTTCACTAATGTATTGTGGTAAGCTCACTTAACATTTAGTATTATTTCATTCGTTTTATTTCAATCGATTCATGAGTAAAAAAGTTATGTCAATTTAAAGAATCACCTTGGGACGCACCCGAGCGCAGCGTGGGTGAGTCGCTAGTACTATAATATATTCTCTAAATACTAGGCAGATACTACGAGTAACTAATAAAAAATAAATATACCTATAACTGAAGGTTTATAAGTTTTACAGTATTTTCTTTAATGTAATTCTTAAGTTTAATTTAATTTATTGTTATTTTGTTTTTTTTTGTAATTGTATTCATTTTTTTGTGTTTTTATTAGTACTTTTAGGAATTATAAAACATTGTTTTTTTGCGAATGATGTGTTCTCCTATAATTAGAAATACATAAATATAAATTAGATTTAGGTAGCTATATTGTAAATGTAAAAAATACTGTTGGAGATCCATATAAATAAATAGATAACTTCATTATAAGATCAATCAAAAAATTATCAAAACTTCCGAGTATTTAAACCGTCTTAACTTAGAATTATATATATAAACTTAATTATGTTACAATATTTAATAAGATATATTAAAGTGTCGCAATAAACAATGGTGTGGTTAGCGGTGAACCGCGAATGCATGTCGCGTGTCTCATGTATGTAACACGTGTACGTACATCTAAAGTGTTATCTTAGACGTTACGAGACAATGCGCAAGATTATGATATAATTGCTATTATTATTTTATTGACCTTAGAGGAACGTTATAATTAGATGAGTGTTTATATGTAAATTCTATCTATAATAAATAATAATAAAACTTGAAATCTGTTTGTCACGAATTTCAGTATAGTGTTTCATTTCTATTTTAACAATATCAAGAAATAGGTACACGCAGTCAGAGAAATATTTATGTTTTATCTATACATATAATAAAATTCTAACTAAGCCGAATCTGTACATTAAATCTTTTTTGGAAAATCTTATAAAATTGACATTTTTTTCGATACAGAGGCCAAATCTATACAGCCCGGAGTTGGGAAGTTGGCGGTGTTTCACCCCCGTGCCTCGGAGAGCACGTAAAGCCGTCGGTCCTGCGACTTAACTCTCACTGGTCGTGTCGAGCAGTCGTCCCACCGGAGTATGAGAGTGACAGGAATAGAGAGTGCACCTGTGTCTGCGCGTACACTTGTGCACTATAATATCTCCTGCGCAGTTGGGTAGTCTCAATGAGATTGGCCGCCGTGGCCGGAATCGGCTAGGAGAACATCACATCATATGTATATTGTATACGTAATATACCTATAACTCTTAAACAAAAAAAATAAAACCCTCCAACACAATAACCTATTGCTTGAGGCCATTTCAATCAGCCTAACCACGATATCTCTGCTGAATTTTAGGAAAAGATTTAAGAATCTTGCAGATTCCAAATGACGCTGCAGTATCAAGTCAAGGTTACCATAACATTTCAATGTCATTAAAGTTACGGGATGCTAAGTTTTGAATCGAGTAGATCTGTGGAAGTTGTTCATATCCTTTTACAGTCTAGAAAAGAGCTGATAGCCTGCAAACGGCTGAACGGATTTTCTTTTTTTTGCCTAACATTGTCTAAGTGACCTTTTAAACAAATAAAAACTAAATTAAAATCCGTCCATCCGTTCGGGCGCTATAACACCACAGACAGATACACACGTTAGACTTATTAGTCCCCTTTTTTGCGTCGGCAGTTAAAAATTATATTTTACGTATGTATAGTAACAAAGGAATGAATATACAAAGTAAAATTGTTAGATTTAATTGATGTTATTACACATTCAAATTAGTTATCCATCGAACAATATACACATGTGGTTTGTAATAAAACCCGGCAATTTGTGGATGTAGATTTTAATGGATCCATTAGTAAATTGTTCCATTGTTTTCAATTTGTCCATGTAATATTGCTAATGGACTCTAGAAGGCGTAGTAGTGTACGTACATAGGTATGTGAATGTAAATATTTTAATACAGTTTTAGTTAGGTAAAAAAATCTCGTGATTTTATTGTACCTACTTGTTATCGCTTCGCTCGGGTTCGTCCCTAGCCTGATTCCCCATACAAACATTCATCCCCATTTTCACCCCCATAATGGATGATTTCCTATGAAGATGAAAAAGTATCCTATGTCCTTTTCCCAGGGTCTCAAACTGTCTTCTTACCAAATTTCATCTAAATCGGTTCAGTAGATCCAGAGATTCCCCCTACAACTTCACAAACTCACAATCTAACAAACTCACAAACTTTACCTCTTTCTAATATTAGTATAGAAACATTATTCCAGTAGTTTTTGCGTGAAACAGTCACAAACATCGAGAAATCCCCATAAACTTTCACATTTTTAATATTAGTAAGATATAAACATTTAAATGAACTATTTAAGAAGTATCAAGAATGAAAAATATTTATTTGAAATTGCACTTAGTTATCTACTAATAATTACATACATAAAGCTAAAATGTTTGCATGGTTGTTTGTCTGTTTAAACTTGCTTATCTATGGAAGTACCAGTTCGATTTGTAAAATCCTTTTTGCCTTGTATAGCCGCGTCTCCTTTCTTCTTCTTTTTCGAGGGATGAAGCGTTATTTCAGCTCTATTGATCTGATACTCAACTTCAAACCTATTCTCTATCTCATCCCTATTCCCTTAGTAGCGAAGCAACGATACATAAATAAAATACAAGGGTCAAGGGGTGGTGGCAAACGCTGATTATATAACGAAGAGTACGAATAAATAGAGAAGCCAAAAGGCCGAATAATTAAGTTGTTTAAAACCTCAGTACATAAATTTAACGTTTCAAGGTTCTGTCGTCAAACACTACTTACAAGTAGCCCAGGTAATGGCACTATTTTTTTAGAATTAAACAAATATCGTCTTTTATGAACAATGCTATATTCAAATTATAGACCACACAAAAATATACTTTAATTTAGTTCAATTAATGTTAGTAATTTTTCTTTGTCTGGATTTAAGAAAGTATGTAGTTACATACTCTCTTAAATCAAGACGAAGAAAAATTTAAAACGGGACTAGAAACAACAACATATCAAAAGAAACTGAAAGCTACAAAACTTTTTAGGTAATAAACTGGTTCGCCATTTTTATTACGTAGAAAAAGTCTTAAAATAATAGATAGTATCGATAATAGAGGTCAATAATCCGTTTTGGGACACAGGTTCAACGCTCGGACGTACAAGTAAAATTGCTTTTGTAACCGATCGTCTGGCTGTCGCGACGAGAACATCGCAATTTTTCTCTAATAAACCATTTGGATAACTTAGAAAGGCTATTTGATATTGAAACCCTTTCTTTATTAGCTCTAATGATATTTTATTCAAAATTTTATAAAATAAGTTTTAAAAGTTAGTACAGACTTCTCAGAGATGCAAACATCTCTTGGAAATCTATACTAAACCTTAAAGCGTACCTAGGGACAATTGAAGAGGAGCGATGGTGAGTCGCTAGAAATTTTATAATATACAAAAGGGACCCAGTGACGTGTGCGAGTGAAGTGATAAGAAGTAGCTAATCTATACACCTATAATAAAATTGTAACTAAGCCGAATCTGTACATGGAATATTTTTTTGGAAAATCTTATCGAAATAAACATTATTATCGATACAGAGGCCGATTCTATGGTTTTTAGAATTTTTGTCTGTCTGTCTGTCTGTCTGTCTGTCTGTCTGTCTGTCTGTCTGTCTGTCTATCTGTCTGTCTGTCTGTCTGTCTGTCTGTCTGTCTGTTACCGCATGACAGAAAAACCACTGGAGGGATTTTGATGAAATTTGGTACGGTGATAGGTGGTTATCCAGACCAACATATAGGATACTTTTTACCGCGGGAAAGTGTCTTATTTCTGAGAAAAAATATAAAAAACTGCAATGTAAGAGTATACTAATATGTAAAACCTAAGAATTTGGTTTTTGGTCATCTGAACGCGGGCGGAGTCGCGGGCAATGCTAGTAGATATATAATAAAACAAATTCTCATTCCACTCAATCACACTTATGTACAACAACTATCTCAACGCAGTTATGAAACGCGCAAATACCATTCAAGTGTAAATCGGTACAATCTACCGAGCAGTTCAGTTCATTGACTTGATCTAGACTTGCAAAATGCACTAATCGACTGGATACGCGACTATACGTCTTAACCATTTGCTTTAGAAGATATTATATGTTAGACTGTATGCACGTTATTGTTAGTGTCGGTGCTAGACCTCACCGTTTGAAAATAATTGCTTTTATATTTATAACTCGGTGTTGCAAATAGGTAATGTGTTAGATTTAATTACCGGATATGGCAAAAATAAAATTTCATAATGGGTTATTGACTTTCAATTAAAATTGTTTTTGTTAGTTTAAAAATGTTTAATATGTAGATTTAGAAAAAAAATCCCTTAAAAAAATTATATTCCACACATTTATTGTATAATTGGTAGACGTATAAAAATAAAATAAACAAAAATTTAACGCTACTTTCTCAATTAAGTAAATACCACCAGCAGTAAATACTTGCATTTACTCTGCAATGTCTCCAAAATAGAATTTGTCTATGATAAAAAGCAGATATTTTCCTAGTATCTTCTCAATGTTTACTCCAAATGAAGTGTAAAAAAAGTTCAATCAAAAGATATTACTAAGTCCATGAAATTATGATGAAAAGTTAAAAAGCTATAGTGTAGAAATAAACATTGATATATTGGTCCACTTGTGAAATCGTTAACGTTTTACATAATCGAGTGCAGAGGACATAAATATCTTTCGCTTTACCGGTATCTTATAACAGTACTTGATTGTAAAATCAATCAAGAGCTTTAACGAGCAATTTCACAGTTGTATGGAACGAGTAGTCGACAAAAAAGATACAGAAATACTCGTAAAATATTTAGTACATACTTATATTGTGATATGACTACCTATAGATTCAAGTTAGTCATTTATTGAGGTTATACTTCGTTTGGGACGTTTGGAAAAAATTATGAGAGTAAAATTTTTACGATGCGCGCGCACATCGACAGCCAAATAGCGACATGATGAAGTTTACTGCATTCCTTTTACAGAGTTGTGACTTACGGGATGAAATCTTTAGCTATTTTTGTTCTGTTAAGCCAAATAAGAATAACTTCTTACGTGCGTACCATACGTTTTTTTTTGTTTTATAGGAACTATCCCTACCGCGGTTGCTATTTCTAGGAGAAAATAAGTATGAAGGTTTAAAAAAAGAATTTATAAACTACAGTATCGAAAGACGTATTCATTTCATGAAATTTCATTCAGTTAGACTTTCAAAATTTTATTAAAATTTTAAATTAACTACTTTAATTTAAATTTAAAAATTGACGATTCAAAGTGCTTGTAAAAGTCTATTTGAATAAGTCTATTTTGATTCGATTTAAACTTCTAAATCGTCGGCTTAATTTAAAAACTGTCATCAATATTATCTGTCTGTGGCAAAGATATTTTCCAAAGTTTTATTACCTCTTAAAGGTTAAATTTCAAAAAAAAAACTATCTACTGTTTTTAACGTCATTATAGAAATAAGCGTTATACGCAAAATTTCAGTTTATCAAATTTTATTTGGTGTTTGATGAAACAGACAGAAGTTTAGACAGGTTATAATATTTCTATAGATCACAAACTAAATAAAGCACTCTATATCCTTATACGATATATTTCTCTACGGGATTATGTAACATTATATTCGGCACAAATTCGATTTATCTTATGTAGGAATTTTCCTACATTACTACAAGGTTTGAAGTCATTTATTCTACACATTACTCTCAGAAAATTTACCTGTTTTACAGCGCCATCAACATAGTCTTCGCATACATTCTTAGCGAAGAAGGTTTCAACAGGGAAGGTTCTTCCAGGAATAGTGAAAGTTGGTACGTTCCCGAAGAAGGAAGAGAACTTTGTTGAGTCCATTGTGGCAGATGTGACAATTAACTTAAGATCCGACCGACGTGCGACCACCTGGAACAAGAAAATGTTTATTTCTTTAACTTTATCATGTAAAATTAATTATGACAGATAAAATTTAGATAATATATTCAGGTTAGTTTCCATTCAGTCTTTTCCAGATAAAACGTTCTGAACTGACACTAAGTACCTACCTACACTTCTTCAAATGAAAAAGCTTACAGTAAAGTACGCACTAACATACTGTAAAAAAATATATATCTATTGAAATACGAAAGTTGTTATGAATTATATTTTGATAGAACGCAAATTGCGAGCGGTAAATGATATTTGCATGCTCAAGTAGATTTCGATAAGGCAATAAAGTATGGTACTTAATTTAAGCAATGCAATAAAGCTTCGTTCGGAAAATGAAACAAATGAAAGCGTTATCGATGCTGATAGAATTTACGGGTCGGTTGCGGCTTTGATTGACTTCAATTTGCAATATAACAAGGTTGGGCGGATTACTAATTTTTATTGATTTAACGTAATAAACGGCACAAATTCAGAATTGGGGACTTGGCCCCTAGCGGAGTGGGTGGTATTGCTGGATAAGGGACGTGATAGGGACTCGAAATGTTAAATAAATTTTTTAATACAACAAAAGATTCAAAAGTTATTGAGACTTAAAGTTACAACATTTCCATACATTTTCATATATTTCTTTACCACCATTCGGAGTGGGTGGTATTTTTAGATAGGGGAGGTGACAGAGAGTCAAAATATATTAAAAATATTTGGAGGAAACGTACGACTAAAAAGTTATTGAGACTTAAAGTTATAACATATCTAACACATTTCCATACATTTCTTTACCTAAATAAGTGATTACAACAGATAAACATACCTTTAACGAATAGTACGCATCCTTTTTTATGTACATTACACATTTTCACAACAATTAATGCTTTATTGTATTTAATATTTTAATAATTTCACAACACAAACAAAATGATCTTACATTTTGACAAAAGCAAAACTGACACTTTGTTTTATATTACCGCTTAAATGACAACAGATTATATTTGATTATTTTTGCTTTTTCTGTTGGTAAAATATTACTATTAATAAATAAATAAATAAATAAAAAGAAAAATATTATTTTCACTTTATAAATACATTTATGACTTTTTATTTGATTTATGTAAAATATATTGTTTTACAATTGTACATTTAGTAAAAAAAATCATTTTTTTATCTGTGAATATTTTTAATTATTTATTTATTATTCGTCATATCTGGGTTAGGTTAGGTTAGAACATTTAAGATTATATATTTATTATTCGTCATATCTGGGTTAGGTTAGGTTAGAACATTTAAGATTATTTATTTATTATTCCTCATATCTGGGTTAGGTTAGGTTAGAACATTTAAGATTATTTATTTATTATTCCTCATATCTGGGTTAGGTTAGGTTATTTATTTATTATTCCTCATATCTGGGTTAGGTTAGGTTAGAACATTTAAGATTATTTATTAATTATTCGTCATATCTTGGTTAGGTTAGGTTAGAACAGTTGCCACAACGCACGAGCCGAGCGAGCGAAGCGAGCGTGCCGCGGTAGCGGCCGGCGAGTGCCATAAATGACTAGAAAACTAGAAAATTCGAGTTTCACGCAAAGTACAAATAAAGACAATCATCTGGAGATCATTTTGACAATTGAAAGTGACGTTTTGACTCCAAGTGTCTAAATGGTAGTAATGTCAAAATAATGTATGGAAATGTTATAACTTTAAGTCTCAATAACTTTTGACTCTTTTGTTGTATTAAAAAATTTATTTAACATTTCGACTCTCTATCACGTCCCTTATCCAGAAATACCACCCACTCCGCTAGGGGCCAAGTCCCCAATTCTAAATCGCCGCCTAATAAACGTATAGATTTCTCAGAGATAAGATATTTTCCCGCAGTAAAAAGTTCCCTATATGTTGACCCGGATAACCACATACCGGATAACATCATACATACCGTACAGCTATCATCATACCAAATTTCATCAAAATCTGTCCAGTGGTTTTTAACCGACTTCCAAAAGGAAGGAGGTTCTCAATTCGTCGGAATCTTTGTTTTTTTTTGTATGTTCACCGATTACTCAAAGACGCGTGAACCGATTTGGGAATTATTTTTTTCCCAGGTAGGTAATTTAAATTTTAACAAAATCGGTCTAGCGATTTTTAAAAAAATCAACAAATAAATTATCTCGTGATGCGGTCACAGACAGACAGACAGCCAGCCAGACAAAAATTCAAAAAAACTATAGATTCGATAGTACCTAATGACTATTTCAATAAGATTTTCCAAAAATATTCAATCTACAGATTCGACTCAGCATTTTAGTACACGTATAGAAGATATATGGTACCTAAAGTGTCCTGGAGCTTAGACAAAATGTAAATATATACCATTGTTGAAAAATAGAAATCTAAAAAAAAATATATTATGATTCTTTGACAACGATCTCTTTTCAATATAGTTATAATATGTTCTTGTAACTATTACTATAATATATAATGTAAGTATAACTCGCACTTGACCGATTAAAAAAAAAAAGTACATATATCTTAATAATTGTCTAATCTAAACCTAATAAAATCTAGACAAATATAAACCTCAAAATTAATCTGTTTAAAAGCAATTTAGTATTGTCAATTATGTTAGATTTATATTACAAGCCATTATATCGAGCGTTTGTGTTTTTGTAGTTGGCAAGAAAATTTTAATTTTCAATGTAATTTTATTTTGCAATACAAATAGCTAGAATGGATATATTTTTTGTACACTTTTTACATGTCCTTGGATACTTGAGCGATTTCCTGCTTGTATTGTATTATATTAATAACACGTACCTATCTAAATATACGTAATTGTTTTTTAACTAAAAGTAAAAAGGTATATCGATTATAAATCTGTTTAAATTAAAGGACCACCCTTGAGGTATATCTCATTCAGTAAAAAAGTCACTAAAATCGGTTTACGATTGGTAAAAATAACGCCTCACCTACAAAAAAATACAATATATACATACATATGTATATTACTGATTTTATTTGAGATATTGTATAAATATCTTTGAAATCAATCAAATAGTGATTTATAAAAGATTCAATTTATCAGCTTTCCTAATAAATGTGCTTTCACTTATACAAGTTCGTTGGAATGACATATTTTTCCACAGTAAATAGTCGCTTATGTCACTCACCAGCTCTTAAACTAACTCCATACAAAATAATATTAAACGTTCCGCACTTTTGCCCAAAAAGACCCTTCTTTCGAGCGTCAGTGTAGTCAGCCCGCGAGGAAACTACCACCGGCTAGGAAAGCAAAAGCTTTATAATATGAATAATGATATGTACCTATAATATATATATCTTGGTTATAGTTCTTTAGGGACAATAACCTTACTTTTTCATACTTTGCAAATTCAAGTTTGATGATGATGATATAAGTTTTTGTTTTTTTTTATATGTTGGGACATTAACACAGCACCATCTAGTACCATGGTAAGCTACGAGGCTTGTGCTATGGATACCAGATAGTTGATACACTACACATATATAAACTTTAAATACATACATATTATAAATATAAACACCCATGACTGGAGTACAAACATTCGTGCTCATCACACAATGAATGCCCCCAGCGGGACTCGAACCCGCGACCACTGGCACAGCAAGTACGGTCTCTACACACTGAGCTAAAGGTGTCGTCAGTATAAACAATTCATAAATAAACAAGAAACCAGCACTCCGTCATTTCCATCTTGTATACAGAAGACCATGTCGACGTCTTGTTACGTGAAAGAAGGACAAACAGACAGACACTTTAGCATTTATAAATTAGCAAAGTGAAGTCACCGGATATCACGAAGAAAGAGCAAAATTGTTCAATGATAAATATGTATTGTTTTCGTTTAAAAACCGCTACGTAGCGGTAATTTCTAACAGCTCTAACACCGATACGATGGCAGTAAAACGCTTATTAAAGATGAATGACACGGCAACACTAAGACACAATTATGAAGAATATTCATCCTGTACATGTATAAAATAAAAATAAAATACTGTTCGTTGGTCGCATTATTTAGAACGGCTGAATCTATTTGGCTATATCAAAGTCTAAATTAAGAAAAAAAAAACATTGAAGAGTTGAATAGAAAATGGAAAATTCTAGAGAACTGGAAGTAAAAAAATGTTAGAAGCTATGATGATTATTTCAACCAGCAAAATTGGCTGGTGCCTAAGATTTTGCGCGCAATGAATGTGTTTCTAATTTTAAAGATTTTCTGTAGACACTTAACAAAAGATATTAAGATGTTAAGATTAGAGAATGTAAAATTACCCTTTATGTTAATCAAAGTCTTAAATAAAACTATCTTTTCGGATTATTTCGCGGATTTATTTTGATTTTTGGTTCCCGACGTTTCGAATGCTTTACAGCATCCATGGTCACGGGAGAGACTGAGGTGTTACATGTCTTAAAGATATAGTTGTTACAGACAGCCTACCCACAATTAACAAAATGAAAATTGCACCAATTACATTACAATATTTTTAACTTTAAACATTTTTATAATTTTAATTATAATTGAATATGGAAAATTATTTATTTAATTTTTGCTATTATTTTTATAATTATTACAATTTTAAAAATATTAATTAGTAATCTATATTTAGTGTTGCCATTATTATATTTATAACCATAAATAAAAATATAAAAATATAGTATTAATTATTAAAGCCATATAATTGTTCTATGTGTAATTTAAAAAAGTTAAAATTAATTACGGATAATCATTTTAATTTAGTTTGCTATTATTTAAAACAACTTACTAAGCAACACTATTAATATATACTTTTACAAATGAAAAATATTATTCTGATAAGCTGTCATTTTGATCTACACAGTATGAACTTACTACATCTGCCTGTCTGTTATGTTTATATTTATTATTTGATTTTATTATATTAATAACAGGATCCCATGACGATGGTAGTACCCAGCCATCTTCCCTATTGAAATTTGGATGTTTTTTAATTTCTTTGGCTTCTCGAATCATTCTAGGGCGATATCGGTTTTCTTTCGCCAGGATTTGAGGTCTATCGAAACGAATATAATGGCTTGGGCGGTCCTGGCTATGTTTGCAGACAGCAGATGTTGTATTGCGACGGTGCTTCACATCAGCTATGTGTTCTTTGACCCGGGTTCTAATGGATCGCTTTGTTTGGCCAATGTAAGAGAGCCCACAATCACAATCAAGCTTGTAGACTCCTGCATCTTGTAGAGGGATGTGGCACTTGACAGGTGGTAAGAACTGACTAATTTTCTTTGGCGGCTTGAAGTAAGTTTTAATTGAAGCTCGCTTTAGAATGTAGCCAATCTTGCCAGTGACTCCTTTCATGTATGGCAAGACTGCAGGGACGCGCTCGACTGTGGCTGGTTTCACTCGGTCACTGTGACGCAGGCGCGGCACTTGCAGCTTGTTGTCACGCAGAACTTGCTTGACATGTTGCAGTTCTCCGGCCAGGTGTTGCTCGTCACAGATCCCGCGCGCTCTCTGAAACAGAGATTTTCCCACGGTAGCTAACTGTGAAGGATGGTGGTGAGATTCACCGTTCAGGTACCTATCAGTATGGGTCTTCTTTCTATACACAGTATGACTCAAGGTGTTATCTGGGTTACGTTTAACTAATACATCTAGGAAAGCTAAGGTTTTGTCTGATTCTAATTCTATTGTAAATTGTATTTTAGGATTTATAGAATTAAGGTGTTCTAAGAATACAGTTATTTTATCAGATGGTAATATTGTAAAAGTGTCATCTACATACCGCTTGTAGAAACGAGGGGTCACGGGTGATGTGTTCAGAGCAGTCTCCTCGAAGTCCTCCATGAAGATGTCGGCTACGACGGGGGAGACTGGCGAACCCATGGCCACTCCATCCACTTGCCTGTAGAATTCACCATTCCACAGTAGATAGCCGGATGTTAGGCAGTGCTTTAAAAGTTCAATGTATTCTATTGACATGTTGTGATCTAGTAGCTTCCTAGATATTATTTCAATACAGTCTTCCACTGGTAGGCTGGTAAATAAAGACTGTACATCGAAACTAACCATTGTTTCATTGTCCATGAGTTTTAGGTGTTTAACTTCATTGACAAAATGGTAAGAGTCCTTTGTGAACGCTCTTGTTAATCCTCTGAGTGGTGAGAGTACTTTTGCTACTAGTTTAGCCAATTTGTAAGTTTGTGAGTCGATTTGACTCACAATTGGGCGTAGCGGAGCGTTAGTCTTGTGTATTTTCGGAAGTCCATACAACTTAGGTGGTTTTGCACATGATGGAATAAGATTTTTAACATCAAGATTTAATGTGTCGGAGTGTTCCTTAATTAGCTTTTTAGTATTATTAGACCATGGATGCTGTAAAGCATTCGAAACGTCGGGAACCAAAAATCAAAATAAATCCGCGAAATAATCCGAAAAGATAGTTTTATTTAATAATGTCAAACATTCGCGTAAATCTAAGAAAGTATTATCAAAGTCTTAAAATTAACATCAGTCCGAAATTTTGTTAATTATAAAGTTTCTCATAACTCAGATAACAATAATAGTTCAATCGCCCCTAAGAAAAAAATATGTTTAATTAACACAATTTAAGCTTAAATCTTATTATATTAAATGAGGAATTCTTGTATATATATGTATATACAAGAATATACATATACATATCCAAGAATCAATAATATGTACCTACATATATAAATTTACTTAAACGGCTCTAACGATTTGGATCAAATTTTGAATTTAGGTAAGGGTTTGTTTTTAAGTCTATCTATAAAGGTGTATTTTCTTAGAAAACGCAATTTTTATACTATCGGAAAAAACCCCGAGCGAAGCTCGTTTCAGGTACTAACATTAAACATGTGATGCATTAATTTTTTTTTCTGAATATCATGTATCTAAATAATATTTCAAAAAAAAAGGAAAATCTTTATAAATTATAATATATTACTTAAACAAAGTCGTGTTCTAAGGCTAGTTAAATGTACCTAATCCATATCGGAGTGTAGCACGCGACGTTATGTACTACAGTAATTTGAACTCGATGGTTCAGAAAATTGGGTCACATTTTCTACGGCCATTTTCACTATGCCGTATATTGTGAGATGAAAGTCGACAACCTTTCTGAGGATGAACAGATGACTGGTTGTTTTTCCTTGCAATTTGTTGAATCATTATTTTATATTTATATCATTTGGGCATCTTTGAAGAGCATATACATAGTTTTTACTGAAGAAGTGTTTTTTTCCTGTCGCAGAAAGATTTTTTCCAATGTGTGTATTGGCATTCAGAGATTAGCACGTTAAAACAATGTATGTATTAGTATAAAATTGATAAAGGCTACTA